TATTTGGGCGCCGAGTGAGAAGTAGACATTTGTAAAAAAATATACTTGTAAAATCTCAGCGAGATTGAAATGTGTAATTCCAACGTTTCATTCGGAAATCTGGTTCGAGTCACCTGACAACTCCGGTAGGTCGAATAAAGCAGCTCAATCTTCAGAAAGAAGACAAAGCAATAAGTCCGACAGGGTGCTTCTACTAAACTCTAATCCTAAACACCATAATTTTGAAAATACGTCTAATCATAAAATTCTAGATACTAACAGTATGAACAGACATGAAGGCGTGATGTTAGCTGATGCATAGGAAATCCTGATTAATAAATAAAAAATGGATATGTATCACTAATTATTAATACTTGGTCAAAATTCTCGACTGTCCATATCTTCTTATGGAGACATTAAGAAATGTTTTACAACTGTTTACCCACACACACATACTCTGTTTAAAGTGTTTAACAAAGGTAGACCAATATTTGTAAGTCCGAAGTCAAATTTTGATCACAGCTCATAAAATTTTGTTTATTATACTTGTTGAATGACTCATGATTGGAGAAAGTTTTTGAAAACAAGTGATGTTCCTTTTATATATAAACCTGTGTTATGTTAATTTCGATTAATTTCCCTGAAGAAGTTCGGACCAGATTGCCGAACGAAACGTTGGAATTACACATTTCAATCTCGCTGAGATTTTACAAATATATTTTTTTACAAATGTCTAGAGAAGTAATTCACTATAAGAAGTGTTTTCATAGAAACGTTGCATGACTATATAACTATGTTACTACCTTTCCTACTGTTCTCCACTGAAGTGTCATATTTGTGATGCATTACATCACATTTGTAACAGTTACAGCCAGATTAATTAATGTTTCGGCAATGAAAAATAGATTGCTTGGAAATATTTTAGCAGCCCGGGGTTCACATGAAATTAGTAATAGTTGGATAATCTTGAATTATCCTATGATAAGCTGTTCGGGGTCACCCTGTCTAAGTGACTGAGTTTCAGCATATAAGTTAGCACCCAAGTACAGCAGATCGCCTTTCCACACTCCATGTAGCACACAAGATTAAACAAAAGAGAGGAAAAACAAGGATTAAGGACCGACGTGAAGAACCTAGAAAACCTGGATTTCGCGCGTGGATGATTTATGTTTTGATGTCACACAAAATCGAAGACTTAGAAGTGAAAACCAACAACTTGGTCGAAGAGGCAGCAAAGACAGGACTGCAGGTGAAAATAGACAAGACGGAGGTTATGAAAATAACCAACCAACAACAACAACAGCAACATCCAGCGCCAATCACCATCAACAGAAGGGATTTGAAAGAGGTTACTTCATCCACTTATCTAGGGAACATTGTCTCAACTACAGGCAGGTGGAACGGACGAGGATGTCAAATCGAGAATCGGGAAGGCGAGAAACATATTCATCAACCTGAAACCAATCTGGAGATCTTCGTCACTCAACCCAGCATCAACAACAAAATTCGGATTTTCAATACAAACGACGTCAAGTCAGTTTTGCTATACGGATCAGAAACTTTGCGGGTCGCAAAGAATATTTCCAACAGCCTGTTGCAGACCTTTATCAATAACAACTGTCTTCGCTCTACACTGAAGATCAGATGGCCGGAAAGAACAAGAACCAACAAGAAACTATGGGAACAAACAAAACAAACAAGAACCAATCGCCCAAGAAATATGCAGGAGAAAGTGGAGATGGATTGGACACTCACTGAGGAGGCCACTGGGTGACGTCGCGCGTCAGGCCAATGCTCGAGTGGAACCCGGAAGGGAAGCGGCGAGTGATACGCCCAAAAGTGACTTGGAGGAGATCGTGTAAAGAGGAGTTGAAACAGTATGGACTAACATGGATGCAAGTGAAAAGTCTGGCAGAAGACAGAAGCGAGTGGAGACGTGCAGTTGAAGCCCTATGTTACACTAGGAACCTAAGGGAACAATAATAATAAATAATAATAAGCAGAAATATAAGGCAAAAAGACTAGTGACGTGAAAAGAAATAACGGTTTAGTGGGTGTGGGAGATAATGAAAAGTGAATGCACCTGCGCCATCGACAACTACTTCAAACCATATCACCCCAAATGTCTTGAGCCGTTGGTTCTTACCATCCCAAGAACCACAACCAGGCAGCCTATACCTTCCTACATAACTCAAATCAACTGTCAAAGTCTTCATGGACTGATTCCAAGTATTGGTTTGACCACTTCTAACTCTTTTCCAAACTAATCCTATGTCAGATAACATTTCAAATCGAGGAAGACGATGGTTTGGTATGTGCAAGACATGTCCTAGCGATACTGCGTACTAATTGTGTTCAAGATTACCTTTTAACTACACCCATACCTCGGAAGGCACATATTAGTGGAACATGGAAAGTAGTTTGTTTAGAATATACAGAGAAGTAGTTCTCTCTTTAATATATTAACTCCTAATGGCATAAAACAGGATAGATGAAAAATATGAATTGAGGCTTTCAAAGTGGAAAGAAAATTTCCAAGTAATAGTATGAATGCACTTACTGATATTCTTCATCAAATAATTAGTTTCTCTTCATTTCCTATATATAGCAGTAGAATTGATTATGAGACATAAAACTTAGCACTTATCGGTATCAGTAACTAGAAACACTCATATCAGATACTATTACTGACTACGGCTGATTCTGTCATTTTGTAGACCAATCTCGTTTGGAGTTTATTTGGACTGACACATCTCAAGAAGTAGAATCAGTTAAAATCAATTTCTCGATGTCGTTTACTGTATCACGCAGGTTAAACAACGTCATCTGAATACTTTTATCTTTCATAGGAAATTGTATTCAAATATGACCTCGAACCAACTGTTGTGAGAATAATGGCACTTTGAGAAACAGCTGTTTTGTTACTGGATAGTTAAACATAAGGTTTCGATTTGTAAATTATACTGAGAGAAATCAGGTCAAGAAAGACTTAGTTCTAGAGATGAAGACGTCATGAAAATGCATGTTGTGAAGTGTAAGATTTGCGTTTTAAAGTCAGTTGATCTAATACTATGCTTTCCGTAATTCTTTAACATCTTTTTGTCACTTTCATGCATTGTTGTGCTTCAGCGGTCGAATGGTAGAGTAATCGCCAATCACGTTTGTGATCCACGGTTTGTTCGCCGGCTGACTCACTACTACACCTCGCTTAGCTGTTTGTGAACCCAGCAAAGCGGGAAAGTTGAGTACAAGGTTAGTAATCTCATCCCGTAAAGACTAAACGCCACTGCTACTGGAACTTGAGAGCTCAAGCTTACAGTCCTGCGTTACACTAGGAACACAATAGAATGAATACTCATGTCTTATTATTCTAATATCTATTTTGAATTGTCCTGAGTTGGTTTGATCTCTCTCAATTATTCAATACAGTGATTTAACACATTTAGTTTTCCTATATATCTATCCGTGCCAGACACACTCCTTTAACTCTCTTAGCAAGTAATAAGAGCGATAAAGAGGAAAGGTTGGGCAGGAAGCTAGCAAACCCTTCCCTTAAAATTAAACACCACTGCTATCGAAGCTTCAAATCTCTAGCTTGAATTCCTACGTTCCACTGGGAACGCAAAGGAATTCGTCGATTCAATAATGATGCTAATGTATCTGGGAAGAAAATGATATCCATGGATGTTACTTCGCTCTTCATCAGCGTTCCCCTCACTGAAACTATCTGCTTTATGTGCAAAGTCATCGAGGATAATAATGTAGACGTATGTGTTCCGATCCACTACTTAAAGTAACTACTATTGAGGTGCACTCTAAATGTCCAGTTCAAGTTCAACAACACGATTTATAGACAAAGAGATAGAGTGGCAATGGGGTCACCATTGGGGCCTTTACTTGCAGACTGCTTCTTGGCTAGTTTGGAGAATAATATTTTACGGCCTACTATCAACAGTTTCCATCTGTACCAAAGATACATGGATGATACTTTCTTCATATGTGACGACAATACCGACATCGAATTGATAACTAAAGAGTTCAATAGCTGCCATCATGCCATCAAGTTCAAGTCGGAATCAGAGATGAACTCGGAATTCCATTTTTTGGATGTTTTTCTAAAGAGGAGATCTTATGGTTCTCTTCAAAGATCGGTCTACAGGAAACCAACATGGAATGGTCAGTACACAAATTTCCATAGCTGGGTCCCTTTGAGAAGAAAGAGAAATCTGATCCATTCCTTATCCTCAAGAATAAGGAGGATGTGTTCAAGTGATACAATCGATGGAGAACTGGAGCGACTCAGACAAATCCTCATAGAAAATGGATATCCTCCAAGATTTATCGAGAAAAACATGAAGCCAAGGGAAAAACCTGGAAGAATACAGACGGTCCCGAAGAAACTGCTGTTTATGAGTGTTGAATTTAGAGTCTTAACCTTTTCACTAATCGTTCCTTGTAAATAAAATATATTTTGATTTTTTCTTTTCATTCTAATTTCACTTTTAGTTTGCTTTTGCTCTAATAATTAATTCACTATTATCACTCTCATATGCTCTTTTTGTAGATTTTCACACCCTCTTCACACTTGTTAATTTGACACTCAAATACCTTTATTCTCACTCAATAGCAATTTTAACCTTATCAAATTTCTATCTTTGTGCCGTTGAGTACCACGTAATTTACAACTTTTAATTTTCACTTCTAAAGCCACTTGTGAGTAATTATATAAATTATGTCACCCCCTATTACTCAATAATAGACCAATATATATTTTTGTAAGTATAAATACGACTTTACAGCCTCTGAAGATGATTTCGTCAATAAAGAAAATTTTCTCCGCTGAATCTGTCTTTTATTTTCTTCATAAATAAAATATTATTCATAATAAATAATGTGTCTGTCTGAATGGAGTACTCAAAGATATTGTTACATAATGCAGTACAAATCGAAATGAAATTACATTGCATTATCATAATACGTATAAGACAAAATATTTTTCCTATTTATCATCTTAATTTCAGAAAATTTAGATCTACTTCAAATCCCATTCGATTCAAGATATGCCTATTCTCCACGTAGTGCTGATCGGATTTCAGTATGTTCACCTGAAACACAATTTATGACTTCACAGAGAAATTATCGAAGTCATTCGAATAATTTACACAAGCATTACAGATCAATGGAATGTGGACTGAATGATGGTTATTTTGAATCACCAAGTACTAAATCAGTTATGGTTGATACGCTACAAGAAAGGAATGATACTAATAATAGTAATCCTATGATTGACGATGTCTTTCCATCTGAGCATCAACAGAATCAGACATTCTCTTCAAATAATAATCGTTCAAGGATAAGAAACTTTGAAAAAAAGATGAGTAAGTATTATTCATATATAGAGTTTTGATACTTTCTATTTATAGATTAAGTGTCTTTAGAACATTTTTAAATGACCACGTACACGAAGTTAGTTCAGTTAATTGTGAAATAAGCAGACAAGAAGCACCATTAAATATATCTCCTGAAAAATTACTCTAAAACAAGAGACAGAGTACAATTACTGTATCTTTATTCATGATGTTCAAAAGAGATTTAAGTAAAAGAGGAGTTTCAGTGTAGATTTCGTCACGAACTAACATCAATTCGAGATAATTGAAAGCCAGGGAGAACCGGACAACTGTTCCGTCGTATTTCTTGAGATTCTTCAGTAGTACCTTTACACGACATCATCAGGGACAGAACCTGGGATCTGCATGTTATGAGACCAAGCTCTCTAACTCTTCAGTTGCTTGGGACGGGATTCAATGACGCATGAATTTTAACTTTGCCAACTAGAGATATAACTGCTGTTGATTCATGATGAAATCTAATAACTGAAATTAATCCAGACCCCTTCAAACTACCCATAATCTAAATATCAGTCTCCAACTCATTGATGACTACCGGATGGTTGTTCTGAAGCTGTACTGGAAAGTCATGAAGGTGAAGTGGATGAGAATCGAAGGTACTAGTTAAAAGCAGCGCTGTACCACGTATCGACAAATTAAGAATTCAGAGATCAGTGAATTCTAGCCCAAGTGGCTGAATGGTAAACGAGCTTGGTTTTAGAACCTGACAGTTCCAAGTTTGATTCCAGGAAGAGTGGTGGGTGTGTGCTACTAAAGATTCCCAAAGTGGGAGGACACGGCTGTCTAGCACTCTCTGGTTCTCAGTGATCTGTAATTAATGCTGATTCATGACTAAATCTACGCTGTTAATGATCTGAATCCCTGAAACAAAAATATTTGGTGTATGGTGACTGGCAGTGGAATCCAGATGCGTATTTCGTCCCGTTCGGGACCTGTAAACTGGATGAATGTGTCTACAGTCGGAAGGGGGAAATGATTTTTCTAATCAAACTTCAACCCAGAACCCATCGTTTCAAACATCGAGATATTACAAAAATGTTCATTCAGACATCTTTGAAAACAAAATAATCGAGCAAAGAATATTCTTTTCGATAAATTCCTCTTCCAGGCTCTACAATTATATATATGTTTTATACACAGAATATTTTAAATTAGTAGTTAATAACAATATTAGCGTTTTTTAAAATAATATCGATTTGTAAAGTATGATCAATGCTATTGCAGTTCATTAAAGATATTATCCGCCAGACCACTTGGACTACGAATGCTACGTCTTGTGCAACGTTTTTCAGTTATTATTTGTTCAAGTTAATTTTGTTTCTCCCACTGATTGACTGGCGTGAAGTGCCCTACCTCTGTTCACATGTTGGATGACAAGAGGTGGCTATCGCAGCCCAAGTTGTCTATTGAATAATGATTTGGTGTTTTGAACGATGAGCTATGGGTTGGGGTCTGAGTAGAAAGCGAATCGCTCACTGAACATTCCAGGTACATCCATCCAATTGACGAGTCCGAAATAGGAAAAAATGCGCATCCTGGATTTCAGTGAGTGTTACTACCGACAACATAATATCATGATAATCCGAAGATGTCGGCAAAGCGACCTTAATATATCAATATTTCAGTCCAATCTATCAATGGGAGGAATAAAACAGACTTGAAAAAAATAAAAGAGGAATACGCTGAAATGTACAACTTTTGGATAGAGTCACTGTGTGTTTGTCTTAGTGTAGGTGTCAATCTCTAAAACTGTACAGCTCGTTAGCCCAAGATTTCCTGTAGTGTTATTTCAAAATTAATTTCACTTGCACGAATTTGTTCACCATTCATCATCTTAAATATTTTGAATTTCCAAGTAGTTGTAGTCTATTTGTTCTTTTTGTCATTCAGACTAACTTTGTATGACTTTTTATTTTATATTTTGGTGTATGGATGTTTATTAAAATTTACTACTGCTTCAACTATTTCACTGCTTTAGTGGCTCTGTATTACTCCTGAGAAAGACTTAAGCTCACTGGTCTGGACAATCGTCTGTTATTTAGGGGAACATAAGTTTAGACTACACTTTATGTAATATGGTTTCACTACTCACTTAGTTGTCTTCGCTCAATACTCAAGATCAGATGGCCGGCCAGAAAAGATTAGCAACAGAGGTCTCTGGGAGCGAACCAACCGATTGTGAAACAAATAGGCAGGAAGAAATGGAGATGCATTGGCTGGTCATACTCTGAGGAAACCATCAAGTGACATCACTAGACAAGCCATTGCTCGAGTGGAACCCGAAAGGGAAGCGGCGAGTTGGTCGTCAGTGCGAGGGTGACTTGGAGGAGGTCATGTGAAGAGGAGATGAAAACGTGTGGGTAGACATGGAGCCAGGTGAAGACTCTAGTAGAGAACCGAACGCAATGGAGACGCACGGCTGAAGCCCTATGTTCCTGTAGGAATTAAAGGATACAATAATAATGATATACTCACTTAGAATTACAGAATTTCTATACTATAAATTAACAGTATTACTAAACAGTATGTACTTATAAAAGCCCTACGTAGTTGTTTTTCATGAAGCAGTTTGGTTATCAGCTATTTAGCTTTGATGAGAAACTTGGTAAATTGTCGAAGTCTGAAAGACTTGGTACACTGGGGGAGTATTCTACAACTTGCTAAATAAACTGGCCTTAAGATTAAAATTCTTATTTTAACTTTAGTTTCCTAAGAAGATAATGAAGCGTTACCCACTGAGACTTGAACCCTGCACCCATGTTTTCAAACTCCAAAGCGTTATCCTCTGGCCACTAGACCGCCTTCATTGCAACGAGTATCACTTATTATTTCTTTAAGTTAATTTGTATTACTCTTTAACTAATAATAGTAAGTTAATAATTAGTTACTGCATTTACACATTCGCATTCCATTTGAGCATTGGCTTGATATACCATGTTACTCAACTACCTCTTCAATGGCGCATGTCCGATCCATCTGCATTTTCTTCGGAATATTTGATGGAAATGCTTTTCGTGATGCACCAAGTTTCTGACCGATATAGAAGCATTAACTGACTTGACACTGCTGTTGAAAATCCAAATTTTGTTATTTATACTGATTGTAGTAGATTTTCAAACCGATTTCAGATATTGAAGGTCTGTCTTGCCTTTCTGATCTTGCTTTTTGCATCTCCGGCCATGCCACCACCTGTAGTTGAAATGATGTTGGCTAGATAACTGAAAGAATTGTGCTCCTTCAAGTTACTTGCGTTGATATTGACTGGTGCCTGTTGTTGTTGTCGTTGTTGGTTGATGGTTATCGGTTGAATGTGCTGATCATGTTTTCTCTCTCCCATGCAGAGTGTGCAACACAGTCCAGTTCACGACAATCAGGAATATTACTGATGGTAGTAGTAACACCTGTCTGTCTCTTGTCTTCATTTCAAGGGCTTCTTTAAGTTTTCGGTGTGGATCATGGTATACAGGTGCACAAATAATTCATTTTGAAAGAGTGGAGAGATGTTTATTAGTTATACAATTACTGATTCTTAATCTTCCGTGGCACAGCGACAGAATGCTCGTTAACCAAGCCTCATATGGTCCGGGGTTTGGTCACAGGCCACTGACGCACTCCTACACCTCGCTAAACCGGTAATAAGACTGGTAAAGAGGGAAGGTTGAGCATATAGCTAGCAACCCCATCCCTTAAAAATAAACACCACTTCTACCGAAACTTCAAGCCTCTATCTTGAATCCCTATGTTCCACTGGGAAGGTACAGGAATAAAAGAAAAATCAGTATTAATTTCATGATCAGATGACTAGATGAATGCCAGTAACTGGTACCTATTGTCATTTGATGAAAGTACAATTGTTAGAAAATCATTTTCCATACTGTCCAAATTTCCTAATTTTAAACAAAAAACAAAACAAAAATTAAGTTGAAAGAAATTCTCTTTAAGGTGGTATATACTTCCTCGAGATATATTTAGTTCATAGGGTGAAAACAGGAACAAATGACATTGAAAAGTGGTTAGAAAATACACTTTAAAATGCATAAATGAAAACTTATTATTATCAGACTATAATAACCTGTTAACAGAAGTGTCATAAATAGCATGTATATATACTATATAACTTTATCTTCACTATCAAGAAAGTATAATCGTCAGTCTGGGGACAGCTTAAGTGAGTTCCTCGTTCATCTGTCTTCTTCAATACTGACTTAGACACACGAGTATTGTCCCAATGTAACTGAATCACAGTTTCACAGTAATTCATTATGTCTCAAACATAGATTAGTTCAGTAACCAAAATCAGTCGAAAAATCTCTAAAAACAAGAGATCACTGAATAACTATTTTCTCCCCGTTTGGCAATCCATAAGTGTGAGTACCCAAACCTTCAGGTTATGAGTCTCAAACTTTGATGAAATAACTGTCAGGCACTACCCATTTCTCAATGATGAAAAGATCTATGCTCGACTGATTCAAGATTCCTACAAAAAAAACCGAAAACTTTGGACTTTTTCCGATAATCATATCTTCGTATAAATTTTCATTCTGTAAAGATACATTCCATTTCTCAAGTGTTAGTGTGTAATGATTTGACTGGTTTCCAGTTTGATCACGGACTGATATCAATTAGAGAATCATTGAAAAGTAGGAGGGTACTGAACATCTATTTTGTCCTAGTTTTTGGGATTCTTAGGACAGTACGAACCCATAAACTACACTGTTGTAGATATAATGCAGTGCCTTTAGGTTGCAAGGTGAGCTCCATGAATTTTAACCACTATCAGTTCGTACCTTGAGTGCCACCGCCATCTAATGTCATCATGGATTATTTGTCCTCACACCCAACCTAGTGGAACCTACTAGCCACATATTCTTACTAGAACTTTCGACGGCTTCGTTCTGTATCCAGTCTTGAATAAGCATCAGATTTATTTGCATGTGTTAGTTTGTAGGGATTTGAATGATTTCAAGTTTGATGCCGGATTGATATCAGATGGCGCTAAAATAGGGAATTGATAGAAGTTAGAGCTCATGGGCTATTGGACTCCGTCTCAGTGGCTAAATAGCTAGCAAGCTCACTTGGCAACCTGAAGATCCTGCGTTCGATCCCTGGTGAGGTCATGGGTGCGTACTGCTTAAGACTCACAAACCAGAATAAAACACTTGTCCAATAGTTACTAAATAGTTTTCAGTGGTTCTGTAAATGTTATCGCTTCGTGATATGATTTGAAACACTTTTGATGTTGCGCAGCAAATTTTTCATACATTTTATTCAGTGACCAATACATACTTTATCTTGAAGTGTGTGATTTATTCCACATAATTAGCTTTGCTTAGATAACAGGCACCCGGGATGATATAGACTGCTATAAGGTAGCTGAAGTTTTCTGTAATGTGAATGAGTAGAAATGACTCTCGTAAACATATTTCGATTGGATTCAGTAGAATGCTTTAACTAAGCCTTTTTGGAATAAGTATGCTTTGCCACATAAATAAATGGGACACAAAAAAATTGAAGAAATTGGTATTTTTATATCATGAATTAAATGATTGAAAGTATATTTCATAATTTTGTTAATTTAAAATTTAATTTAAAAATTACAGTTAGTTTTATATATGTAGCGATGTTGTCGCAGGGAACAACAGTAATATTTTCGAGTCTTTGTTTGTTGGGATTTAATGCATTTCAAGACTGGTCACGAATTGATTTCAGTAAGGAAACCACTGAAAACCAAGCAGCAATTGACAGATGTTTCTTCCTTGCTTGGCGTTCCTCAGGAGTACGAGCCCGTGAACCTTACTGCAAGAGATCAAGCCCAGGGCCGTCAGGGTTACTAGGCCAGCTCGTATACCTTTGAACTACTGCAGCGAAATCCAGCGGCCTATCGATTATAACTTCTGCCGGTTCAAAATGTGTACTGCGTCATCAATCTTGAAATCATTTGAATCCTTGTAAACGAACATTTGAAAATTAATCTAGCGCTCACCAGTGGCTGACTAGAGGATGATGCTGTCTGAAGTCCTGGTGGAGGGGTCGTGACCAGCGGATTCCATCAAGTTTGATATGAGGGCAAGTGCTCGCAGACGACATTGGCTAGCTGTTGTGTTGGCAGAAGTCAGAAATAATGGGTCATTGGATTATGTACCAGTGTTTAAATGGTTAACGAGGCTGCTTTGTAAACTGAAGTGAAGTCTTGGGTTCATTCTGTTGAAGATTCTCAAAGTAGAATGAAACAGCTATCCAGTACTCCCTGGTTTCCAATGGCTCTCTAAGTAAAGCCAGTTTGCAATAACTGCAGAGATGAACAAACCTAAGGTAGGATTTTTAGATACTGAGTGGACAAATTTACGTACATGGAACGGACAACTAACTAATTTTTATACCTGGGTGCCTATCTCCAGGAAAAGGAACCTAATTCATTCACTCTGGTTTAGAATAAGAAAGATTTCATACATTTATTCCCCTTGATGATTGCGTTGACTCAGAACTTGACTTCTTAATAGTCACGCTGGCAGAAAACGGTTACCTGAACCGATTTATTGGCAGTAACATGAAAGATAAGCAGTCTAAAGTGGTCACCGACTCAATTCCAAAGAAAACCTTATTCATGAATTTGGAATTCAAAGGTGATCAAGTTTCAGATATGCTCAAAAACCGTCTCTCTAAAACAGTCAGTAAGACATTCTTTGCAGCAAAATTACAAATGACCTTCACCAGCCACAAGTTGTTCTCCATCTCTGGCCGTCCACATGTGCATCTGTAAGTTCACCTGCTACTCTTCTGGAGTAAGGTACATTGGCCGTATCTAGAGAACGCTTTCCACACGGACACGAGAACACATTTAAGCATGGTTGGTTTTACAAGAGGGAAAGAAAGTGTGTGCGAAGCTCTATTCTAGAACACCTGGTGGACTCCTGTCACTCTGCCAACCCTGACCATGATTCTAAGATCATCTATCAAATCCATGCTAACTTGTTGCATTTCCTTTATAAGATTCTAAAGACAGTGGAGGCCTTGGCCATTCATGAATTTAAGCCAGAACTTGGTGTACAAAGGAAGTATATACAGTCCCTGTTTCTGCCTTGGCCGTAGAGGGATAGACATTTATTTATTTTGTTTATTTAGTTAATCTTTGTACCTTTCCCTCATTACTATTATTACTATTCTCACTTTGAATTGTTTCCATTTGTCCTATTTGTCATTCTAAATCCAAAAATGTTTTACAACATTGAATTCTATCTTATCAAATTTCACACCATGTTATGTAACATTTTATATTCGCCTACTAATCCCATAATTATGCACCCCTTTCCAACATCTATGCACCTTATGAATTATTCTATATTTGACATTAATTGTTTTGCTACTTGACATTTAACCATGATTATAATCACAAATATTTTAATTGCATTTCATACTACTATTATTATTTCATGTGTTCACACTTTTGATCCAATTCCCTCACCGGATATAATTTCTTAAAAACTACATATATGCGATTGTACAGCTTGATAATGAATTCGTTGTTGAGAAGAGTCTCTTTGCTAAATATTGTGTTTTGAATATATATATATATATGCTATTATTATTATTGTTTCCTTTAATTCCTAGAGGAACATAGGGCTTCAGCCGTGCGTCTCCAATGCGTTCGGTCCTCTGCTACAGTCTTCACCTGGCTCCATGTCTACCCACACGTTTTCATCTCCTCTTCACATGACCTCCTCCAAGTCACCCTCGCACTGACGACCAACTCGCCGCTTCCCTTTCGGGTTCCACTCGAGCAATGGCTTGTCTAGTGATGTCACTTGATGGTTTCCTCAGAGTATGACCAGCCAATGCATCTCCATTTCTTCCTGCCTATTTGTTTCACAATCGGTTCCTGTTTGGTTTGCTCCCAGAGATATCTTTTACTGACCTTTTCTGGCCATCTGATCTTGAGTACTGAGCAAAGATAACTGGTAATGAAGGTCTGTAGTTTGCTTGAGATGCTCCCTTTGACGCGCCAAGTCTCCGATCAGTATAGTAGCACTGACTTCACATTGGAGTTGAAAATCCGGATCTCATCATCGTTTTGATGCTGAGTGTTGTTGACCTCCACACAGACTTGAGAATAGTGAAAGCTTGTCTTGCTTTATATATACATACATATATATATATATAAACACCACAACACCATCTGTAATTTACCTCACTGGTATTGCTTTTTTATTCTCAAATTTAGATGTATCTACTCTTAATACTGAACAATACCAATACTCTCAAGAATCACCGTATGCTTCATTGCGCATTCCATCATCATGCAGTGATTATTATAATCATCGTTATAATCGGAAATCTCCTTTTTATGATTCTATACAATATGATCCTGAATCAAATCCTAAAAAATTCAATAAATCACCAAATATATCAAGAAAAAATTCACTGACAGAGAAAATTCATCCACATTATACTACAGAAAACGACAGTCATACAGAAGAACAGTATAAAACATTTCAAGGAGTTAATGAATATTCGACCAATTCATATCAAAATGATGATAGTAATAACAGTAATAATCATGTTGACAACTGGAATGTAGTCAGTAGGCGAAATAAAATAAGAATGATACCAGAAAAACAAAACTATAGGTCAACAAAGCTGTACACAGGTTCAACTGCAAATCAAACACTATCGAAAAAGTATGTACCATCGAATTCAAAGTCAGCTCAAAAAATCAATGCACTACTAAATCCACATGATTCAAGATTTTCAAATCGAAGAGGTAATAATACACCTGAAATGTTTAAATTACGCAAAACTGTATCACAGTCTAATATATATGAAAAACCTGAGGGACGAGAAGAAAAGAGAAAGTGAGTTGTAAAATTTTTCATCTATCTAATTTGACATATAATTTTCCTCAAGTAGAAGGAACTCAATGTATGAATTTATTTTCAAGTGTTGGTTTATGGGATTTGATTGGTTACCAGCTTGATCCTGAGTTGATATCAGTTAGAGAACCACTGCAAAATAAGGGAGTGCTAAACAGCTGTTTCGTACTAGTTTAAGACTCTTCGGTGGTACGCATACACCATCGTTCGTACCTGGGCCTACCAATTACAAGGTGAACTCTTAGAGCATTCAGCCACTGAGATCCAATGCAATGGCTCGTGAATTCCAACTTCTACCAATACGTTGATATAAGAATAAAACTTGGGCACTGTGGTAGAGTGTAATTCCATTATGGGTAAATTTTATTTTGATAGAGTCTCACAGTGTTATTCAGTAGTAATATTTACTGATGACGTTTCGAGCACAATTTATTGCTCATAATCATATCAAGGTAATCACACGACTTCCTAAATTCATTTATATAGTTCCATTGTTTTTCACTTGATTTTCACTTGATTTGATTGGTAGTATTATTTTCCATATTTCAGGTATGAGTGATGATTCATTCCTATTGCATGTGTTGGGTGTAGATTCGATGAACAAAGATTCAGTAATCAACCTCTCTCTCCACCTACCTAGATTACTTTTTAGAATTTTAACCCTCTCCCACCCTATTGTGTGGTTGTGTGTTAATGCATGCATTGCAATTGCCGAGCTTTTTTCTAAATTACTTATCTTCTCTGGGTCAACCATTCTTACCTTAGCTAAATTCTTATGTTCTGACAATCTGACTACCCCTGACCTACTAGTTTGACCTATGTAGTTGACCTCACTCACAGTCATTGCAGGGTATTTTGTAAATTATATCATTTTGTCTAATTGGGTCCACTGGGTCCTTTAACCTACAGAGCTTGTCCCTGAGTGAGTTTGTAGGTTTAAATGCCACCCTAATTCCTGCTTTATTTAGAATCCTACGTAGGGTCTCAGATGTCCCCTCTTTATATGGTATAACTGTTATAAGTTATACCATATAAAGAGGGGACATCTGAGACCCTACGTAGGATTCTAAATAAAGCAGGAATTAGGGTGGCATTTAAACCTACAAACTCACTCAGGGACAAGCTCTGTAGGTTAAAGGACCCAGTGGACCCAATTAGACAAAATGATATAATTTACAAAATACCCTGCAATGACTGTGAGTGAGGTCAACTACATAGGTCAAACTAGTAGGTCAGGGGTAGTCAGATTGTCAGAACATAAGAATTTAGCTAAAGTAAGAATGGTTGACCCAGAGAAGATAAGTAATTTAGAAAAAAGCTCGGCAATTGCAATGCATGCATTAACACACAACCACACAATAGGGTGGGAGAGGGTTAAAATTCTAAAAAGTAATCTAGGTAGGTGGAGAGAGAGGTTGATTACTGAATCTTTGTTCATCGAATCTACACCCAACACATGCAATAGGAATGAATCATCACTCATACCTGAAATATGGAAAATAATACTACCAATCAAATCAAGTGAAAATCAAGTGAAAAACAATGGAACTATATAAATGAATTTAGGAAGTCGTGTGATTACCTTGATATGATTATGAGCAATAAATTGTGCTCGAAACGTCATCAGTAAATATTACTACTGAATAACACTGTGAGACTCTATCAAAATAAAATTTACCCATAATGGTATTCTACCAATACGGCATGTACGGCGCAACTACATTGATGTATAACACAAATATTTAGACGTATGTAATAAATAGATAAGTTGGTATCACTTACAGAATAATCGTTGTTAGCCATTTCGTTACATGATTTATAGAAATTCAGACAATTATAGACTGTTTTTGAATGTAGGATATTTTTAGTAAAGGTATGTAAATGCTGTACTTATAATTGTATTTAATTGTTTACTGCATGAAAAGAAGCACTCTTTCATTCAAAGTTGTGACTGACTGACTGAATGCTTTCAAAGTAGAACTTTACACATTTGTGCAGCAGTTTGAGTTGCCAAACTTCATATATCACACAAAGGAAGAGAAGAGAGTAAAGAGAGATTCAAAATAGAAGTGCGAAAGAGGGAAAAAGAATAGTAATATGGAAGAACAATGGAATTTTACTGGATATCATAAGTCACAAAGAGTGAATGCGTTTGCACCATCAACGAAAACGATTTTGAGCCATGTCAGCAATGGTCTCCAGCCTTCATTGGTGTTTACCGTCCCAAGGACCCCAACCATACAGTCTACACCTCCGTACTTGGCTAGCTTAAACTAACTGTTGTGTATTTCATTGATTGATAAAACCATGTTTTGGTTTGATCACCACCACTAGCTGTTTTTCAACCTGATCCATGCTGTATTAATTAACACTTCTTATTGTCGAGGAAGGCGACGACCAGGCATGCGTAACACATGTCCTACCATCTCAGTCGATGTAACTTCACAGCCTCGTCTATTGATTTCCCCTCCTTATCTAGCACTCGACCGATGCCTAACCTCAATATTACTCACTCTACTATACCACCTAAAACAGGAAATAGAACGCAGACACCTATGATCAAAGACAGCTAACCTGTCCATGTCTCAGTGACAGCCGTAAAGGAGTTCGGAGCGAACTGCTGAGCAGTACACACGTCCTTTGATCGATAGCCAAATATCACGTCTACGATGGAGACGCCTTAAACTGGCATATGCGAAACGAGCCTTCTGTATCCGTGCTGAGATTTCGTCGGCCATTAACCCGTTGTGGCTGATGCAGCTTCCCAAATTAGTAAAGTCGTCAACACGCTCTATCAGAATTACGTCTGGTTGGAACACAAATCCATTCCCTTGAATAGGTTACTAATTAAGTCTTTTTACAAATCACAAAAGATTTCATTGATTGCCTCAGTCTTGAATATAACTTGCATACTTTCTTTACTAACAGTGACAGTCTTATAATATTGCCAAAGAAATTAAGACGTTTAGATTTTTTCTTGAAATTCAACTAAAATCAGCGTAAGATAAAATGACTGTGCTCACATGACACTCGATAATAAAAATGCGAGCATGTCTGGTTTTTCAAAAAGTTGGAATAATCTATGAAACGGTTTTTCTTTCACTTGAGTTAACCCAATTTTAGTAATAACAGTGTGGTACTGATTCACAAAGCCTGGTTAGTTAATTAGGTACTTTTTAAGAATGATACGCTTGTGGTAGTAACTTTCAATGTTTAGTGGATCGATTACGTAGTAACAACGCACTGTTGTTATTCCATTATTTCCTTCGACTCTGACTGCAACATAGGGCTTCAAAATAACAGTTACATTTCCCCCGTTCTCTTTATTAGTTTTTAACTGGCTCCGTGATCACCCACAAGTCTTTATCTCCTCTTCACTCGGTCTCCCCCAAGTCACCCTTGAAACGACCCCTGACTCGTCATTTTCTATTTAGATTCCTCTCGAAGGCCTGCCACATGATGTTGCTCAATGACCTTCTCAGCGTGTATCCAGCCCATCTCCATTTTCTTCGGCATATCTGTTCAGCTATGGGTTCTTGTTTGGTTTCCTTGCCTGATATCCTTGTTGGCTGTCCTTTCTAGATGGCCATCTGGTCTTCATCATGAAGACAAGGAAGCATTTGTTGATAAATGTCCGCAGTTACCTGTTGAAAATGCTTCTGATGATACTTCAGGTCTCTGAACCATAAAGAAGCACTGACTGGCTTCACATTAGTGCTAAATATCCGGATTTTATTGTCCATGCTTAGTACACTAGATCTTCATATTTATTTCAGGCTAATGGATGGTCATCATGACTTTTTGATCCTGGTTAACTCTACCATATTCATGCTTGCCATCCACCTGCATTTGAAACGGTGCTTCCTAGATAAGTGAAAGAAGTGGCCTCATTCAAATTTCTTCTATTGATAGTGATTGTAGCTTGTTTTGCTCGTTGTTGTTGAATAGGTCTCTTTAATGCCTCTGTCTTCCCTACGTTCATTTCAAATCCTTTCTTTGATGCTTCTCAGAACCTGTTGGTTTTAATCAAAGAGTAAATTCATTCGATAAAATGCAGTGTTACACTGTCATTGAATCGTATTCTACCACAGTACCCAAGTTCTATTTTCATTTCACTTATTGGTTAACTTTCTACAGATATTTGAGTCTAAGTGATAGTGTGCTAGTTTACTAACCCGTCCTAAGCCTAAAAGAAGAGGGAGGGACAAGTGTAGGGCTAGCCGTCTTTCCCCAGAAAGCTCGTATAGGATTCAGCTACTGAGACCCGGAAAATCAACCCAGTTGCTACAGAAAATTCAATGCACAGAAAAAATTTATTTTAAAAAATAAGAACAAGTAGAATCAGTGTCTTACCAGATGCACAAAACTTGAATAATTTAATTTAGTGGTTGTATCATTTTAGTTTTATCTCCAATGATCTTGTTTTTCCGGTATGATCTTGTATTTATGGAGTTCATTCCACTTTCACTTCAACACATCAACAAAATATGCCTGATTCCTCGACTACTATCCTCACACTAAAAAGACACAGAAAACTGCCTTCTAGAGGCGATACTCACTGGAAATTACGGCTACTTATGTATTTGTTTTATTAGTTTCAGGTATAAAAACTACGTTATTACTGTCGAGAAGAAGCCTGTATACATCCAGCTTACTTTTAAAGGAGACTTGGTATCACACCGTATAAACAAGAGACTAAGGGCTTCATTTGCTACAACTCACTAGGCAGCTTAACTAGTTCCTACTTACAGCGCTTGTCATATACCTTATAAACAGAAATACAGTTGTGTTTAATTATGTTGAAAAAATTGTTGTTGTTTTTGGCGACTTCTAAGAAAATATTCCGTCTTACCTTCTACATCAAGAAGTTAAGACATTCTGGTATTACCCAACCCTTACTCCTACAATTCGTTAACTCTCTCATTCTGCCTATTTTTCTCTATTGTTCCCCCTTAGTTTTTCCAGGGCTACTGAAGAAAGACTATAACATATTACGCAGGATATTAAAGGTTTTCAGCAGAGTAAGCAACGTGCCACTTAACCAGCTTGCTTATATTCTGGTCGACAGGCACATGGACTCATGTGAAAAATGGGCCAAATCCATTTTATGTAACTCACACTACCCTCTTCACTCACAACTCTCCCTTTGCATCTCATCAGGCAGGACCACAAGTCTATTTAGAAAACTATACGCTCGCACTAGCAAGTACAGAAACTCAACCATACCCTACTTAGCTTGTGTTCTGTGTGATAAAGAAAGCATTAGGCGTGACACCTATAATTCATTAAATAGTCAGTAGTAAAAATGGACCTCGTCTTTCCAACTCATATCATTTATAGGTACAAGATTTCCTTTCTTTCTTTTCCTTTTCTCTCTCTCTTTTCTCTTTTTTCCATTATGTGCTGCTTTGTTTCTTTCTTCCGCTTACGCCATTAAATATAATAGCTACTACTTTTCTAATACCTTCAAACACTGTTCAGCTTTACGTTTGCTACCGACATGCCAATATGTTGTTATCATAATGAACTGAGATTTCCTTAATCTATGTAGAATTCTCTTTATTGATAATGTACTAACTGGATGCAATACTGTAGTAAAAATGCTGAGAATTCCATTCTGTATCACAAGTACTGTTTTGGAATAAAGCAAATTATTATTATCATACTAGGGTAAACTGAGATTAATCACTGTTTGAGCTGTTTAATGGCAATAGATTCAGCAAAGCGAAGATGACTTTCTTTGTATGTTAGTAGTCGTAAATGCAGTTTGAATATCTACTTTGTATGCATTTGAAAGGATACTCACCCGCTGAAGAAACAGAATCGACTCATCACATCCCGCACCACATGTTATTTTCATTGCTTTCTTCAAATTCATAGGGGGAAATTCATGTACAAAAGTAAAATTATTTGATTTTTGATTAGAGTTTGAAACCACACCGTTGTTTTGGTACAGGTATGGAATTTTCAGCATATGATATCGGTGGCCCAAATTTTACAGGCCGACCATAGATATCAGGTGTGCGTCGGCAGGGGGCTGAACCCCGGACGATGTGCATGGTCGGCGAGAGTCCTAACCACTGTGCTACCGACGCACTGCACTGATTTCACTGGTTTCAAGTATAACCACAGATTGACTCTAGTTGGAGAGCCATTGAAAACCAAGGAGTTCTGGACACCTAGTTTATCCTAGTTTTGGACTCTTCAAAAGCGAACTGGTGGTAGTAAGAATTATTGGTTGAATTGTCAAGGAATTCTCCTCATAACCTAAAGGTCCTGGGTTTGATCCTAGGGGGAGCTGATTAGCTCAAACTGCTGAAGGTTACGAAACTGGAACAAAACAGCTCCGCAGTACTTCCTCGTTTTCAGTAGTTCTCTAATGGATGTCAAGTTGGAATTATTAACAGCACACTAGACAACCAACCAACGTTCAAGGTGATCGGCTTTTAGATGTAGATGTTTCTTAGCTTGGTTGTGTTGGATCAATAATTTTTAAGATATTTTGAAATAAATCTATTAAAATCACTTATCGTTGTATTCACCAAGCCCGTAAAATAGACAAATTATGAGTAACAAACCTATATGGCTATATATTATGTAATCTTTAAATGAATGAAATGTGCTCACTTTTGGAATCAATAAACCAAAAAATGTGTTGCCTAGATAAAAACAATCAATATACCTATATAGATGTTCACACAGTAATCAGCCTAACTCAGCAGTAATGTAACTACTAGTCTTTCACAAATTAATCAACATCGTTGTAGAAATTAACAAAAATTGCTTGAAGATGAAAAGCTTAAGCAAAAAATATTGTCTTCGATAATTTCCTCATTTGGCTCTATAGTTATTAATACACATAATAATATATGAAGGGAAATTGTTATTTACAACACGGATGTTTTTCGAATATATTACTATTATTATCCCTGTGGGTTCTGAGTGGAACACAGGGCTTCAACAGTACATCTGCATATTGTCCTATTCTGTGTAGTCCCCTACAGTGGTTCCCACGATTGTCCATAAGCGCTTTCATTCGCTCCTCATACGATCTCCTTCACGCCATCTTTCGATACACAACCAACTCGTCGTTTCCCACTCATTCTGTCGAAGCTTGTAAGATTCGGTAGTTCGAGAAACATAGCTTTCTTTCTTACAGTATATGTGTTGTCACATAGCCACTCTTCGTTTGATGGCAATATTTGTCTTCCAGATGACTAACCGTTTCCAACGTAAACAGCTCAAAACATTATGCCGACAAATAAGTAAGGCGTCTTTAACTTCAAAAAGCTTTACAGTGACAGTGAAACACAAAAAAATGTGATATCAGTTTATAAATATAGCAGTAGTGTGCAATATATGGATCTGGATGACTTAGTTTACAATGCCAATCACATGCTTTAAGTGTGCTCCATCCGTTTAACTGCAAAGGCAATTAAACACAGATAAAATATGATATATTACGCTTGATTCTTTTCAGTGCGGATTTAGTCATATGAAAGCATTTCATCAACTTTAGCAATAACAGATACATAAAACAGTTTGTGCACCACACAGATTTTAGATAAATGATGCCAAAATTTGTTAATTTGCACCTCAAATAAATTAAAGCCTTACAAAATAGGTGTAAAATCTATCTGACTCTTGATGTGTTCATCTGGTGAAAGCTGTACCACCCTGTGAATATCATCATGCTTGTACATGTTGCCACAAATCACCAGATTATTGAAGGCATAGAAGTCTGTGGATAGTTCTCTGTTCTCATTCATTTCATAGAGTGCCAAGACAAGTTCCCTTTCTGTTATCAAGTGTTGGTTTGCAGGGATTTGATTGGTTTCAGGATTTCATCATGAAGTGATCGATGACATTAGCTTGTGGTCGCCCCATTAATGTTTGCAGTTGTCTGTAGAAGTCTCCGTTCTCCCATCAGTCTGCAGACTTTCATCGGTATCTGCCACTTTTGCTCCACTGTGAAGATCAGGTGACCAGAAAAGATGAGCAAAAGGCATCTTTGGTAAAAAAATGAACATACCATAAACCTCTTGTCCAGTAAATATGCAAAAGTAAATGGAGATGGATAAGACATGCGCATTGAGGACACCGATAAGCAATATCATGCATCCAAATGGGAGGTGACAGTCATGGAAAGTGTCAGAGGGTGGCATGGGGGAGACTGTGTAGGAAAGAATTAAAAGCGTTCGGGAGATCACAGAGCAGGCTAAAAACGACGGCAGAGGGCAGACTGAAGTGGCGATAAGCTACTGAAGCCCTACTTTCTACTAGGAACCGAAGGGATTAATAATAATCAGTAATGGGCCCGGGTAGTTGAATGATGAGAGGCTAACCAAGCTACATCGACTACTATGGCTAAGACATATGTTACGCATCCTTAACCATCATTTCACTCGACGGGCAATGCAGCCTAACATAGGATTACGTTGGAAAAGAGCTAGTGATGGTCAAATCCAATCATGCAATCAGTCCATGAGGTCTTAAGCAGTTAGTTTGAGGTAGCCACGTAGGGAGGTGTTGACCTCCTGGTCCTCAGGATGCCAAGAACCAATGACTGAAGACAATTTATAATATGACTCAAAATCGTTCTCACTGAAGCAGATGCATTCACCGTTTTTGATCTGACCTGTCAAAAAATACTTATTATTTTTCCACTGTTACTGTTTCTGCCTATTGTCGTCCCTTCAAACATCTTTTTTCTCTTTTGTCTTCCTTCATGTTCTACATGGTGTGGCAACTCGAACTAGTGCATTTCTGTGCAATGGTCTAAGCTGGAACCAGTCAGTCGGTTTACTTTACCTTAGCAGTAGTAAAGCCAGAAACGAGGAAAGGCTGAGCGTGAAGTCAGGAACCCTGCTCCGTAATGAAAACAACACCACCACTATTGAAACTTCAAATTTCAACGCCTGCATCCATATACTTCACTCGGGACGTAAGAGATGAAAAGTACACTGTATAAATAAAGAAGTAACGTCAGAGGCCTTACGTAGGATTCCCAGTGACGCTGGAATTCGGGTGGCATATAAACTAAACAACCAACTTACTCAGAGATAAACCTAGTCGGCTTAAGGACCCAATAGATCCAATTAAGAAAAACAATATAATTTACCAATTACCATGTAACGACTCTGAGGTCAATCACATATTTCAGTCAAACTAGCAGATCGGGGCCAACTAGATTATTGACCCTGCTAAGTTAAATAATTTAGAAAAAAGCTCAGCCACTGCATAGAACTAACTTGAATGTAATCACACAACGACAGTGTGGGGCAGGATAAAAGTAATATAGTTAGGTGGAGAGAGAAAGGGAGATTAATCATTGAGTCTTTGTTTATCGATTTAACACTGCAGCGCACGTGCAATCGAAATGATGCAACACCTACACCGGAGATATGGAAAGTGGCAACAAACAACAAAGGGAAGTCGCAGAGACAGAAAGAGAGAAAATATTTATCAGAGAAATCGTGAATCCGTGTGACTAAAACTGATATGATTGTGAGTGGCAATAATTTATGCTCGAAACCTTTTCATCCAGTTGTTAATACTGCATCACACTGTGTGTGATATTTAAAATACACTTATGTAATATGGAAGCACACTGTTCAATCTCTGTTTTCGATCTATCCAACTATCTATCGTTACATTTATCCTCATATTTTATTTCTTTGTTTTTTTATTTTACAGATCCAGTTACTTAGATGGAAGATTATCTTATGATAATTATAATAATACTACTACTAATAATAATAATGATAATAACAATCCTTTCATCATTCCAAAGGAAAATGATTTCAACAATTTAATATCATCAAGTGAATCACTTGATCAAGAAATTTTAGATTTATGCCCTAATGATTCATTTTCACAGTTAAATGAACCTACTGATACACTTAATATGAATAATCAATCACGTACACAAGGTATAAATCAAATGGGCAATGGAAGTATTATACAAAGAGTTCATAAACTACCTAAACATATTGAAGATGATAAAGAAAAAGATTATGAAAGTAGTTCAAGTTCAAAAACTGAGATTAGTACATCAAGTCCAGATAATAATCAAAATCATAATGACATGAATATACAGACGAAATCTAGTGAATTCAGTCATATGCCACTGGAATATGCTCTACCTACTCAGAATGATTTTAATATGAATAATTCAAACGAGTTAGAAAAGTGAGTAGGAGATATTTTGGTTACTATTTTTGAATTTTCTCTTGACTGATTTATTTTAGTGTCAAATGTCCATTCTCCTCTGGTATGTCGGATTCCATTTCTAGGCATTATCATAGAAGCCTGTGTACCAGGAGCCGATATTTCAGCATATTCCCAGAATCTTGGTCCAATTAAACTATACAAATGTGAGGTTGAAAAAAGTATTAAGAATAACTGATACACGCTACACAAGGGAGGGGAATATTATCATTATTATTATCATTATTAAAGCATAAATCTGGTACATTATTAACATTTAAAGATGCTTCACACAAGATCTCAGTTTCATTGAGGGCTGAAATACTGGCCAGTAGCTCAGACCGAAGCATGTGGTTGTCTTAATGGGCTACCTCCTGAGCCTTTGACTCGGAGTATAATACACAAAGCAGTGAAACAGCATCAGGAGCTGCGTTCCGATGCTTTCTAGTGATCAAATCAGTTGCATACACCATTCGACTACTTCGGATCCTGCAACCCACTTACAGCAAACCTATCAACTCATGGTTTTCTGGCATCCTTAGGTGGACCAGTATGTCCCCCAGTCCGGTTGTAAGCACCAAACGTTCCCACTCACATTTGTTTCACTTTAGTGAGAAACACACCCAAATTGTAAAGGCAGGGAACAGGACTTATCTGGAAAAGGCTACAAACGCACATTCACCCTCAGTCACATCAGGACGCTTATGCGAGCCAGTAGACAACGCTTCTGTGTTTAAAACGACAGGTGCCCGACCCAAGTTACTTGGTGGGTACTGAATGAAGTGCGTCCTAGATTCCGCTGCTAGCCACCATCAACCAAGTAACATTCTAAACTTTGCCAAGAAAAATTAATCATACAACAACACACTTTTATTACTTATTTGATCCTACTGGTTTCTGTTAATCCTCAGACCTTCAAATAGGTTGTTTGATCATTCGCAGTAGTTGCTGTCAACGCCACTCGACAAGAAAGAAATTGTAAGTCTCAGATTAGTCAGTATTCATGCCAACCTCTTAACCAGTGACAGTAAACGGAACTAATCAATCAGTTACATTGTATATTTGTCTATTTTGAATCAATATTCCTTTTGACCTAAAGTTTGTGTACTGGCATGTGGATCACTTATATATTTTTGAAAATAATGAAACGGAACTGAACCACTGCGGATTATTCCATGTTGAAGATTTTTGCAAATGTTTAACATCAACATCACTTTAAATGACATTTTAAGTTTGACCACCAACTGACTTAAATTATAAAATCGTTTTAAACCACAGGGTACTGGACACCTGTTTCGTTCTAACTTATGACTCTTCAGTAGTGCACATCCATGAACCTGTCGAGGATCGAATCTAGGATATTAAGATTAGGAGGAAGGCCCGTTAAGAAGCTCTGCCAGCTTCTGACGTATGCGGTGACTACCAGCCAATGTTGTCTGCTACTGTTTGTCATCACATACGACTTAGTGAATGAACTCCACTGCTCACAGCTTCCAGTTTAAAAGTCATCTTGTAGTCCGTCACTTGTTAAAATTAAATTAACTTTGAACTTTTGATTTGCAGAGATCTGAGTGACTTCAGGTTTGATCTTATACTGAATTCAGTTAGAAAATAACTGAAAATTAAGGAACACTGTATAAATGTTTCGTCCTACATTGGGAACTCTTCAATACCATACACGCATGACCACAGCGGGGATTAAACGCAGAACTCTCAGCTTGTCAGATGAACCCAAAGTTTAAGAGTCTGCAGCTAGGACAAAATAGCCCTCCATCTTTTCCTGGTTTTAATGATTCCCGAACTGAAGCCATTTCATGATCAACCATAAAATCAATCAAATCCATGCAAACCAACACTTGAAAAGAAATTAAACTCTTGTTGATGAATAAAAAATTGTAGAAATATGAATATTATATAATTATTTAGTTCATTTTAGATTTTACCGTCGATTTATTGGACTGAAGTGCTCGGTCTCAGGTTGACATGTCAGCTCTTTATGCATATGCTTCGACGATGTCTGGTCATGTAACATGAGACCGAGTACATCGATCCAGCCAATAGACGTGTAAATCTAAACTGAATTAAATAATTAATAAGACCTGTTACACAAGAAATGATTCTCGTCGCCCAAGTGGTCTAGTGGATAACGCTTTGGTGTTTGAAACTATGGGCACTGGGTTTGAGCCCTCTTTGGTGAGAACATTGTCACTCACTTAGGAATGCAAGTACACCAGATGGCGAGTCCCATATAGGACGAGTTGCGCATCCTGGATTTCACTGCTAGTCACCATCCACCGGTTAACTCCATATTATATAATCAGTTTAGCTCAAAAGCAAATGTCTAACAACCAGAGAAACACTCATCCTGACAAAGTATAAGAGTTTAAATCGGTAAGATTGTGCAATACACAGAAATGTTGGCTAAATAAGTAAAAGACTTAAAGTCCTTTAGGTAAATGAAGATTATCACTCCCATTTTTAGTCCTGTGAAATTGACGCTCGAATATATTGACCATAATCTAAGTGATTACTCATGCAGAAGAATATTAACAATAAGTAGAGCATCTGTTGAGGACGTATTCAATTTGGAAATGATATTTTTACATGAAGGACAGAGCAACGTAACGATGTCAAAAGATAATAATAGTTTGCTTTATTCCAGAACAGTGGTAATGTTGCAGTGTGGAATTTTCGGCATTTGGTACATTACTGCATCTAATTTTATCGAATAATATTAAAAACAATTATCAACATTGTATTACAGGAGTGGTGATGATGGTTCTGATATCGTATTTGTATTGACAGTGAAGTCATATTTATAAAGAAAAATAGTAAAATAAGGTTAGTGGCTACGGCTGCCATAAGTTTCACGCTTTACATCATTTCTATCACATAGAACACGGGCCAAATATGGTATTGTTGAGTTCCTATATTTTGTCTTACGAGCATATAATCGTTTGTACTGATTTCTGGTTATACCAGATGAGATACAAGGGGAGAGTTGAGAATAGAGGAGATGTTGAGGGTCAGACAATACAGATTTAGACCATTTCTCGCATGAGTTTAGATGTCTATCAACTAATCTAGTGGCAAGCTGACTAAACTGCACACCAATTACCCTTCTAACAACCTTTAATACCCTGAGCAATATGAAACAGTACTTTTTGAGCAGACAAGGAAAGACTAAGGGAGAGCAATAAAGTACAATAGGTAAGATACAAGAGTTAACAAATTGTAAAACCAGAGGTTCAGTGATTCCAGATAGTTTTAGCTTCTTAATGTAGTAGCTTGGATGGAACATTTTATTGGAGATCGATGAAATTTGGGATGACCAAGTAAGGGCCGGGGATGAAACTATACCAAGTCATTTTCTGTTAGACCAAATTTCTGTTACAGTCCCCTCTACGCTACAAGCACCGTCTGAATTAACCAACCGTTACAGATCACTTTTTTGTCTAAAGAAGAAGTCAGTAATCTGGCATTTTGACGGATTTAACGTAAGGGGTTTCGTATATAAAGTATACAAGAGTAATTTTGTTAACATATGAATTGTTTGCATGGATTAACTGTATTGCCCAATTATGTCAAACAATGTTTAGCAAATTTATAGGAGTATAATTTGCGAACATATTCATACAGGCGTGCTGTGGATTACCAGCCCGGAACAAAACCAGTTGAGCTAAAGGACTGAGCTATCAGGTTAAAAAACGCAGGTGCCTCTGGATTGAATGTTGCTATGACTTGGATTTCTATTTCACCTTCAACAACCATCCATTAAATACTTGTTAATCTACCAGTCCTAATCCATCTTAGATAAATATATCTAGTATTTAAATTCACATAGAGTATATCAGAATTCAGTCAAAGATATTCATCAGATAACCATATTCCTTGTATTTTTATATTTCTCAGATCCCTTTACCAACAAGAGGATGATTCACAGCGGCTTATACTTTTGCAGAAAGAGTCTAATAAAATAAAGAACAATGGCAAGTTAAACTACAAACAAAGTAGATATTTTGATGCTGTTCCATCCGATAACACCACTGAACCATCTATATACACAGTGAAAATTTTGAAACGAAATTCTTCTCTCCAAAATGATCTTAATGCTCCCATGAGTAATAAGGATAATGCTCAATACAGTTCACCTGAATGCAAAGCAGTCACACATTCACCTCATGAAACAGTCAGTGATGTACTTCAGTCGAACAACAACAACAACAATGAATTGGATTTAACAAATGACTCTGGTGTATCGTCTGTTGCTAAAGATGCTCCAATATCAAATGGTGTAATATATGTACGCAAAGTGATAAATAATATTGTTTTTGGACCATGCAACAATTCAAATGATGCCAGTTATCATAACTCGAATGACTGTGACACAATGAATACACCGACATGGTTAGCTATATGCAATGATGAAATGAAGGTTATTGTTTATGATCTATGGGTAGGTTTAGTTGTGTGTTTTTCAGGTATCTAAATGATATTCACATAACAATAACTTTATTCTAAGATTTGAGGGTACATAAGAAAATATTAATAACAATGACACTAGTTTATCAAGAGTTGATTTGTAAGGATTAGAGTTGTTTTTTTTTTGAGTTCGACCACGGATCGATATCAGTTAGAGAACCATTGAAAACCAACATTAGAGTACTAGACAGCTATTTCATCCTAGTTTGGGAATCAGCGAAGAACAGTCTCTTTATCGAAGAAATCATCCCCACAGGCTGTACAGTCGCATTTATATTTACCGAGAATGTATAGTAGATTATTATTGAGTAATAGAGGGGCAGGTGACGTAATTGATACAATTACTCAGAAGTGGCTCCAAAATTAAACATAAAACTTCTAAATTACGTATCACTCAACAACGGCACATAGGAAGAAAGCGTTAGAAATTTGATAAGATTGAAATTGCCACTGAGTCAGAATAAAGGTAGTTGAGTGTCAATTTAACAAGTGTGAAGAGGGTGTGAAAATGTACAAGAGGAGCATCTGATAGTAACAATAGTGAATTAATTCTTAGAGTAAAAGCAAACTAAAAGTAAAATCGAAAATTTCAGAAAAATTAAAATTTTTTATAGGGAACAATTAGTGAAGAGGTTAAGACCATGGTAGAATAAGAGACTGGGTAAACCTTTTCTGTGTACAGAATTCGGGGTTGTATTGACGGATCACCAACGCCTCCACCACACACAAATGCCGAAACCTGCGCTCTTTGTACCACTTGGTCCTACCTTGTTGATAATCTTGAAAGACGACTCTGGTGGTGCTACGTGGCTTGAGTTCATCAAGTGCTCAAGAATTGAGCTAGTAACTGTCTTGCATTGTCCTTTTGCTAACTATGCCAGATAATGTTCAGAGATGAGTTTGGGGAGTGTGCGCTATATGACGACAATATTACTAGCTCCACATGAGAAGGTGAATTTGTATGAACACACTGAAATGGCTCAAAGCAGCAGTTTATCTTCCACACATCCATTGATTACTTGTCGACTGTAGAAATTGATCCGTCGCTCAGCCGAAAAGAAAGCTTTTCTCAGATGCTCTTCAAAACCTCATCTGCGGTATCACCTTTAAATTTGACTTTCATGAATATAAGTTTTTTCGTTACCGTCTGGGTTCTTTCCGACTTCTGCTTTACCTTCATGATTTTCTCGATGAATACTGAAGTATATCCATTTTCCATGAGGACCCGTCTGAGTATCTCCAGTTCCCCATCGATTGTATCACTGGTACATATCCTTTTATTTTCTTGAGGATAAGGATTGGATCAGGTTTCTCTTTCTTCTCAAAAGGGGCCAACTATAAAAATGTGTGTATTGACCATTCCATGTTGGTATCCTGGAGATTGATCTGATAATAAGTCAAATCAATTTTATAGTCCGCAAAGTAATCAACAGTATACGGCTTTATGTAAATATTCTTGTTTTCTTGAATACTATTTATGATATCAAGTGAATTACATACTTTGATCCGATTTATCTCAGTTTCCAGAAAAAATGTGGTGAAATAATCACCCTGGATTGTGTAAATTGCAGGTCAAAGAATTTAATTTGCTTTTTTTGGGAGAATTTTTGAAGTAAATAAGATACGGTACATTAGATTTGGAAAGATGACCTCAGTTTTCTTTTAAATTTCTACTGGTCTGTAGTTTACTAGTTTAAGAATTCTACTTACAGAAACTTCAAGCCTCTAGGTTGAAGCCCTATGTTCCAGTGGGGAACGTGAAGGAATAAAAGAAAAACTTACAACCATTGGTTGACAAATTCATACTGCATAACATTTCCTAAGGTTCCATCAAATAGAAAAAAACCTTTAGCTTTCACACAGGTTTGCGTGTGCATATAGTCACTCTTTTCAAAAATACAATTCTTCAATTAGGATTCCTAATTAGTTTAAAGTATCTCTTTCACTTATCTCGGCAGCATCGCTACAACTATAGGTGCTGACACATTCAGAAAAGCAAGACAAACACTCATTACTCTGAAATCAGTGTGGAAATCGGTTAAACTCAGAGTAAAGATGAGGATTCGGATTTTCACTACTTATATCAATTCAACGCTTCTGTATGATCCAGAGACTTGGTAAACGTGTCACCGATAGCATTTCCAGTAGGCTACTACTAGACTTTCCCCAACAGCTGTCCTATCTTCACAGTGAAGATCAAATGACCAGAAAGACTGAGAAACAAGGAACTATGATAACAAACGAATAGAGAAACCTCTGTCACCCAAAAAACATGACGAAAAAAATAGACATGGATTGGACATGAGCTGTGGAAACCCTTGAGTGACAACATGCATAAGGCAATTCGTCGAGTGTAACCTGAATGAGAAACAACAAGTTAAGCCTCCAAGTGTGACACGGGAGAGATTAGAGCTTATGTATAATCGTGGAACCATGTGAAAAGACCTGAAGAGAACATGATGAAATGAAGGTGTGCTGTACTGAAATCTTATGTTCCAGTTGAAACCTAAGGGAATAATAACACAAACCACTTTATCTGTGACAAATTTCAGTTATCACACTATCAGGAAAGACAATTGTGATCAGAGATGTCTTCATACTTATCACTGAATAGATTTCTAGTTTACATTACTAAATAAAAGTGAGATTATACAATTAAACGTTTTGCCTTTTGTGTCTTTTACATTTTGCTTTTTTGTCATATATATGTATAAAGAATTTACAAGATTATTACAAATATGCAATGTATGCATACATTATAAGCACCTAAAGAAAAGTCTTATTACTCATTTTATCAAAAGATACCAAAGCAACGATCCATGAGATTATTAGTATTATTATCATTACTACAGGCTAATGAATATTTTGTAATCTAATTCAGTTATTTCTCATGAAGACAAAAGAAAAGTTTATTATACTCCACATGTGAAACAAATGATGAATAGGTATTTAGAGAACAGAATAAGGAATGTTAACTTATTTAACGAGAGTTAATAAATTTCTACTTTTTGAAGTGAAAAAAAATACAAATACAAGCACAAATTATGGTCTACTCAATGCAGGAAGAAATTTTAAAAAATATTGCAAGTCGCTTTTCTTTCTTGTAACACTCCAATCCAACTTCAATAACAACAAAGAGAATCAACGAAAAGAAAGGAACAACACAATGAAATGAGGAAACAGCGTAATTTACTGGTCTGGAGGAAATCCATTATATCACAGATAGTTCTTGGCATCAATAAACACCTCTCTTTAGTAAATACAAAAGAAAGCAGCTAAGCTTGTTCCCGTCTGTCGATCGACTTGATCATTGGTGCAATCAAAAGTCAATAGATATCCTTCTCATGTTAACTCCAACTGTATATACAAATCTACATGTATCTGCGGGAGCAATCGCATTGAGAGAACAGAACCTACGATTTTCTCGACATATACCAAAATACCTAAGGATAAAGAGATCAAATGCTTTAAACAGAGCCATCATCATCCGTCCCCTTAACACAGGTCATGAGGTGGACGTCATGAGATAGCTAAAAATTATGAACAGTCAAAAAAGAGTTCAATTCTCCTTTGGTTTGCCAAAACAATCTACATCAACAGCCTGAAAGCTGATGTATATATTCAGAAAGAATTGGTTATCAGTCTTTCTCTGCCCTGGTAACTGGATATTTTCACCCTCTCTTTCATCTGATTACGTGATGTCCGAAATTTCTGTTGTGTTTGTGATTGGAAGGCACGGCAGTTAGGACGCTCGCCGACCATGCACATGGTCCGGAGTTCGATCCCCTGCCGACGCACACCTGATATCTATAGTCAGCCTGAAAAATTTGGGCTACTGATATCATATGATGAAAATTCCATACTTGCACCAAAAATACTGTGTGGTTTCAAGCTATAATGAAAAAATTGTTGTTTAGGATAAAGTGATTGTTATTATTACTAGCATTGTATGCATATATTGATTGATGTTTCGTTTAAAGATGAACTCTGTGCAAGTATGTTAAAATTGTTTCTGTAGATAAACTTTGGGCTGTAAACAGGTGATGAGAAAATAGACGAAATAGACAATGATGGTATCAATTTATTCTGCAGAAACTGTTGTTCTTGCTTTATTCAAAAATAAGAACAGTGGGTGGTATTGAGATTTTTTTGAAAGCTGCTATGTTTTTTGGTGTTTAGATTTGTCGCAGTTACAGGGTTTATACATGGACTCACATATGCATACATTTTGAATTCTGGAAACTGTAGACTACACACTCAATAATTGTCACGGGTTGATTTGTAAGGATCAGATTTCTTTTTCGAGTTTTACCACAGACTGATACCAGTTAGAGAATTATTGAAAATCAGTAGTGAAGTAATGGAAAGCTGTTTCATACTTATTTGGGAATCATCGGCAATACGTGCTGACTGCCAGGGCTCGAACCCTTAGCCTTCCGGTTACGGAACAGGCTCGTATATCATTCAGCTACTGGGACCCGACTTAATGGTCAGTCCATTAATTCTAACTTCTACTAATTCGTGATGCATTTAACGCGACCACCAACCAATGTCATCGACGGGAAATTCACCCTCATACTTGGCTGGATGCACCTCACTGGTCACGACTTTTCACTAGAACTCCAGGAAATGGTTCTTTAACTGATATTAATCTATGGTCAAACTAGAAAAACTTAATAATTGAGTAATTCAAGTATTTTAATTCACTAATTGTGAATATTTCCAACAGGTTGCAGACCTTTATCAACAACTAACTGTCTTCGCTATATACTGAAGATCAGATGGCAGGAAAGAACAAGAACCATTCAGAATAAACTATGGGAACAAACAAAACAAGAACCAATCGCCCAACAAATATGCAGGAGACAGTGGAGATAGATTGGACACTCACTGGCTGAGGAGGCCACTCGCTGGGTGACATCGCGCATCAGGCCAGTGCTCGAGTGGAACCCGAAAGGGAAGCGGCGAGTTGGACGTCAGTGCAAGGGTGACATGGAGGAGATCGTGTGAAGAGGAGTTGAAACAGTATGGAATAACATGGATGCGAGTGAAAGGTACAGCAGAAGACAGAAGCAAGTGGAGGCGTGCATTTGAAGCCTTATGTTCCACTAGGAACCCGAGGGAACAATAATAATAATTGGGAATTGTTGTCGATATATATTTTGGGACTGTGTGAATCAGTTTCATTTTGACAATATAGGATCTTTCAGTGAATGCTCTGGTATTAATAATGTTTATTGTCTTGAGACCTGTCAGATGGATATACTACCTCCTCATAGTGAGAATGAGAGTGATGGTGTTCTAACTCAGAGTGGAACGCACCATCAATCGGTAATATACTTTAAGGATTTATACACCAAATGAATGAGTCATTCATTTTTTATCCTATTCACTGTCACCTATTTATCTTTTTTGTTGACTTGAACTTGTAAGATTACCTTACAAGTGTCCATTAAATCTTGAATATTTAAAGTTAACAAAGTGAAGATTGTTAATGCGTATAGTTTTTATTAGACGCAAAGTGCTTCGAAAAAATAAGTCAGTGTTGTCTCTACATCACTGCGCTTAAAAACGGTGAATAGAATTTTACATTTCCTAATTAATTTCTTTTTCATTGAATATATCACACAGTAAAACAGTATCATTTTTACTAGATGACGTTTTGAGCAGAATTTAGCATCATTCAAAACCATATCATTTGTAAATAGACAAAACTTCGAAGCTTGATTTTCATACTTCTCTTACATCTTCTTCTTCTTCTCCAGTGGTCGTAGAGGTGGTAGAATTTTTCAGATGTCCGACCGGAAAAGTGTTGAATCATTCTTATTGCACATATTCTCTGTTGAATTTATAAACAAATGAAGCTTCAGTTATCATTCTCTCCTTCCATTCTATTTCGCTAGGTTTTGAGATTGTCACTAACTTACAGGTTATCTGTACCGATAAATCAACATTATATTTCATCATAATATAGTTGCGGAGATTCAGGGATATTTATAGGCATCGGTGGCACAGCGGTAGAATGCTCACCAACGACGCCTCATGTGGTCTGAGGTTCGATCCCCGGTCACCACCGCACTCCTACACTTCGCTTAGCCGGTTATTATAAGACTGGTAATGAGGGAAGGTTGGGCGGCAACCCCATCCCATAAAAACAAACACCGCTGCTATCGAAATTTCAGGCCTCCAACTTGAAGCCCTTTGTTCCACTGGGAACGTAAATGAATAAAAAAGTGGATATTTATTGTCCATTATTCTTATGAGTTATTAATGAGATATTTATCTTACAGCAATGGAAACTATTAATTCTGCATAATTATTCATACATTTATTCCCCTTTATGAATTTAAACAAAGCAAAAACAACAAATGTTTGTGCAGAATAATATGAAGCCATCATCTGCTTCGTTGGATTCTCTTCAGATGTTTACAATCTAAAAGTTGATCATGTGTAAATGTACACAGAATTTCGGCATACTTGGAAGGATCAACCTGATTTTTATTAACAGAAACACATTTCAATAAACAATGTTCAGAAGTCCCACTTATACAACCTATGAAGGAGGTCTGGGTTCAAAGGAAACACAAACGTGCAAAATTAATGGTCAACTACATTGAAAATTGAGTTTCGTAGAAGGGAACTACTCAACCTTCAGTATACTGGCAGTATCATTTTTTATTAGTGAAAGCACACTTTCCAGTTAAATCCAACTCACTTTGATGGTGGTCGATGTCAATAAGTATATTATAGTTGTGCTTTTTTTAAGTTCCAAAAAAATTGCTACAACACTGACAGAACTCCGTGTCTGTACTCACTCTTGAAAGGTAAACAAATAGAATTATTCAAAAATTTAGTATATCTAGACAGTTGTTTGCGTTGTGCCAGTGGCTTGAAGGAGGAAATTTCCAGCCGTATAATAAAAACCAGTGAAGTATATGTCAATTGGTGTCTCGTCTGGAAGCAACTCAGTTTTAGTTCGATTTGCAAAAGTCGGGCTACTAACTCTGCTACTAACGTACAACCTTTCTGTATGCCCCGTGAAAACCAACCTTGTTAACTGTAAATATCCAGGCAAGAAAAACTTAAGCCGTTATACAATTTCTCTTGAAAATAATTTTATTTTCTATTTCATAGACACATAACTGTCTGGCTGAATTTATGGATCATGCGACTACGTCAACAAGTCCTGTGACGCATTTATTTCCACTTCATTCAACACATACTAATGAGAAGAAAAACTCAAGACATTTTGGACTGCTTTGCGTTGTTCAGAAGAATGGAATATTAACACTATATGACGTAGCTGTAAGTTAAATTGTGTGTATGTGTCTTTTTTTCACTCTCAGATTTTCCTGAATTCTCTATCAGTACAATAAAATAAAACTGAAATGAAAATGATTTCGAAGTTTGCTTACATGAAGTGTTTGTCTTCTAAGTTTCATAACTGTTAAACGAGGAACTATTTGAATATGAAATGCTTCCGAAACAGCTTCAATATTAGTAAATAAAAAGATTAAAAAATATAACTTTCAAAAGTTATTTTAGTATAGATGTGGGTGCGTACTGATGATGAGTCTCAAACTAGGACGAAATAACTGTACTGTACTCCAAGTTATTTAGTGCTTCTTTAACTGATATCAGTCTGTAGTAAAACTTGAAACAAATCAAATCCCAACAGACTAACTCTTGAAAGTTAATCTGACGCTCGCTAGTGACTGACTAAAGGACGAAGTTGCCTAAAGTTCTAGTGAGACGTCATGACCAGTGTAGTCTACCTGGATGGAAGTGGGGATAAATACTCGCCACTGATGACAGTGGCTAATGATCTCGCTAAAATCACGAATTGGTAGAAGTTAGAATTCATGGACTGGCCATTGAATTGGATCCCGGTGGCTGAATGGTTTACCAGCTTGCCTTGTAATTGGAAGTTCATGGGAACGACCCCCGATGGTGGATGCGTACTGCCAATGAGTCCCAAGCTAGGCAGACGAAACAGCTGGCTGTCCAGTACTCAAGTCCTGATTTTTAATGGTTTTCTGACTGATATCAGTCTGTGACTAAGCTTGAAAATGTAATTTATCACTATATTGCCTTTTATTGATAGATAATCATAAAAGTACTCTTACTTTTTAACTATACGACTGCAAAGAATACGCTATCAGTTGTGCATAGCGTAGTATGATTAGCCACTTGAAGCCTTGTTCGATATCACATTTTTCCTCCAGCTGAAACAATGTTTAGGTGATTAAATTCACTGAATGACTGTTATTACTGAAAAAGGCAAGCCTACTTAAAATTGATCTTGACTACCATCTGTGATAAGATGTTAATTAGTCATGTAAGTGACTGATAAGAGACACGGTTCTACAGAAGGATTGAGAAATCTACTTTAGCACGCAATGATACAGAATCATTTAAAACCAGAGAGCACTGGAGAATCGTCTCGTCCTAGTTTCCGGACTCTTCAGCAGTGTACACGGATGACTCCACGAGAGGATGAACTCAGGACCTTAGGATTACACGGTCAACTTGATGACCACATTTAATACCTGGTGGAGTTGAGGGTGCTCACTGCTGAGAAATTTCACTAATGGTCTTCAGTGATTCTTTAAATGATTTTGTTTGGTTTACGAAGTCTACAGCATCATATATATTTTCTAATGAAATTTCGAGTGTGATTTATTTATCATGGCTATGAACTATACACACGAGTATGCTACTGAAGTTTCGTATAAAAAATATTCATTATTACAAGAGACACTGAATCTAAATCACCTGTCAGCTGCATACTATAACTGTACATCGTGAAGTGAAGTTGACGTCGATATCAGTCATGAAGTAGCACACAGTGGAGTACTTAATACAAAACTTGGATAGAAAGAATTTATTTCCATCACCTCTCTTCTTTGGGTTAGTAAGTATTAGTTCACTTCATTGGACATACGGTTTCTTGAAGATTTCTTTCGAAGTTATAGATATTTAAGCATTGTGTTCACACTCCTTTATTATGACAGAGCCATGATATTTCCGTATTTATGAAGTTTCAACTGATAGATTTTCGTTACAAACCAACATCGGTTACAGAGATCATTGATAACCGAGGAACACTAGACAGGTGTTTCACCCTGTTTTGAGACTTTACAGAAGTACATACTCAAGACACCACAGCTAGTGATCGAACTTAGGACCTTCAGGTTATGAGACTGAGATCACTGACTATTCCTTAGCCATTTGGGTTGAAATTCAATGACATCTGAGTTCTAACTTTGTCAACTAGTGATATAACGCTGTCTCAACCAATGCCCTTGATAAACATACACTTCACCTGGACATGATGGACTCCACTAGTGATGACTTCCCACTGCAGCTTCAGGAATCTCCTCGAGTAGCCATCAGTGAGCTGGCAATCGATATTCAGATTATAGATGAAGAGTCCCAAGGTAGGACGAAGCAACTGCAATGATCTTTTCAATGATCTCTCTAGCCTATGTTAGCTCGTGGCGTAAATCTGACAACTGAAATTAATCAAAAATCACAAATCCAAAAACATAGAAAATCATCTTACTTATAAACTTAGTGATTATTGCTCATGAACAGTAAATAATGACATCGCTAAAAACGTCGCGGCTGGATGGATGCACATAGGCAAAGATGAGAAATATTCCAATGCCCTTAGATGCAAACGACACGCTTGGTAAGAATTCTCATTACAGATATTTCTGTAGTTGTACCATAAACTACTGACAATCAGCAGATTAGATCTTTTCTTTTCAAGTTGAATCAGTATTCCAGACTCATTTGGAGCTCCAAATTAAAAAAAACGAAGAAGTCAAGACAATAATTCACATGTTTCCATAATGTGGTCAACGGAATTGGTTAAATATCTCCGTTGGGCAGTCAGAACAGTGTCTTTCAGTAATCATATTTTTTCAGTTATGTCAGGTATTAACATCTTTGTGATAGCTGCTATATAATATTATTATATAAATTATTCAGTTGCAGTGTATTGAAGTCGTTAAAAGGCAATTCGTCACCAGTTTTACACACACTATTTGTATTCAAGTACTGGTTTGTACGGATGTGATTGATCGTTTACAGGATTTCATCACTAGCTGATATCGGTGAGAGAACTATTGGAAAACCAACCAGAAAGTACTGAGCAGCTGTTTTGTCCTAGTTTGGAACTCTTCACAGTACGCTCTCACTAGGGTTCGAACCCAGGGCCTTCTGGTTACAAATCGAGCTCGTAGACCATTAAGCCACTGGAACCCAATCGAATGGCCCATGAATTCCAATTTCTGCCGATTCACGACTGAGCGCGACCAGAAATCGGGATTCGTGGGCCATTGGATTGGACTTCGGTGGCTTAATGGTCTACGAGCTCACCTTGTAAGCTGAAGGTCCTGGGTTTGAACTTTATTGGTGGGCGTGTACTGTTGAAGGGTCCTAAACCAGGACGAAACAGCTGTGCACTACTCCCTAGTTGGTTTTCCAATGGTTCTCTAACCGATTTCAGCTCTGGAGTAAATCCTGTAACACACTATTTATATCTGTTTTTGAGTCTCAATGAAAGTAATCACTCCCTGACAGTCAAGTTTACGGAGCTCGTGAATCCTAGATAAGGTATTACGCTGCACCCACGTTGTGTTATGAAGCAAGTTCGCATAGGAAATGAACGTTTCATCATTTATATTGATAGCAAAATTTATTCATTTATTTTTTTTAGCTAACTGTATTTTTTAATAAAATTATAATTTATAGAATCAGAATAGGATTACAAAAATTCGATTGAACTGTGAAATATACTGTGCCTGTTTAGTACCATGTCAAGAAAAATTGAATCAATACTTACGTGATGCAATACTAAGCATTGATACTTCTGGCTATCTAATGATAACTCAATGGAAATTAGCAAACTCACCCAAGGATATTAGTTTCCATAGATCTGGTATCTGTGGTGAAACATTAGAAATTGGAACGAATTTTTTCAAAGAAGTAAGTGTTGATCTTATTGAACAGGTGAATTTATACGCTGCCACGTTTAAAAAACGATTGAATATGAATATTTACATTTGAATAAAGCAACAGCAACAGTTATTGCAGAATAAAATGATACCGTCATTGTCTATTTCGTTGACTTCTCATCAGCTGCCTACAACCCAAAGACAGTATCAAGTTTATCTACAGAAACAATTTTAACATACTTGCACAGAGTTCATCTTTAAACGAAACATCAATCAATATATGCATACAATGCTAGTAATAATAATCACTTTATCCCAAACAACAATAATAATCAAACACAATGGAAACTTCCGACATCACGTAATCAGATGAAAGACTGATAACCGCTTCTTTCTGAACACATACATCAGGTTTCAGTTGCTTGATGGAGATTGTTTTGGCAAACCTAAGGAAAATTGAACTCTTTTTTGACTATTCATAATTTTGAGCGATCTCGTAACGTCCACCCCATGACCTGTGTTAAGGAGACGGATGACGATGGCTCTGTTTAAAGCATTTGATCCCTTTAGACATGGGTGTTTTGGTATATGTTGAGAAAATCGTAGGTGTGCTCTTCTTTCTGTTTTTCCAATGCAAGTGCTCCCGCAGATACATGTAGATTTGTATATACAGTTGGAGTTAACATGAGAAGGATATCTTTCGATTTTTGATTGCACTAAGAAGCAAGTTGATTGATAGATGCGAACCAGCTTAGCCACAGGACAGGCTCTGCCTAGTGGCATCCTCAATCTTCTGTTGCATTGCTGTAATATTGTCAACTTTAAAATCAATTTGAATGAGGATGGGCTTTTTCTCACTATGATTTATTTGACATTTGAGCCTTCAGATCTTCCATACTTGTTAATGAACCCTTGAGAGTAACCGTTGTTCTTCAACATCTTTTCAAGAAACACAAATTCTTCCGCTAATTTCTCTGTAGAGCATATTCTTCTAGCTTTATGGTATAGAGTCTTGACTAGTGCTGGTTTAAAGCAATTTGGACAAAAACTATTAAAATATAGATATTGTCCTTTCTATGTAGTCTTTCGGTAAATTGATCTCTGAAGACTACCATCTTACAGGTGTTACATAGCAATATCAAGGAAATGAAACTTTCCATCATTTTCATGTTCCACCTTTTAGTTCAATATTTGTGTGTACCTCGATGAATAATCCTTTTATTGTGCAAATACGTTAAAATTGTTTCTGAAGATATACTTAATAATGTCCTTGGCTATGCGCAGCTGATGAGAAGCCAACAAAGTAAACAATGATGGTATCATTTTATTCTGCACAAACCACTATTGATCTTGCTTTATTCAAATTCATTAAGGGGAATAAATGAATGAAATATTTACATTCCAGTATATTTGGAGAATTTAATTGGTAAAAATTCTTATTTTCCATAATTTGTCATTTTATTTGTCTTGTTGATTGACTGGACCAAAACGATGGGCACCGGATTCGAGTCTCAGTAGAAATTGTAGGTATTATATCCAGATGATGAGTCCTAAATATGAAGAATTGCACACCCCGGATTCCACTCATAGTCACCATCCAGTAAATAAAATCTCTCATTTTACTTTAAAGGTTTCATATGATTAAGCCTATTAGAATTTATTTTTCTGGTATGTGAATAAGAGGAAGGTAACTGTGTCAACAGCAACAGAGTAACTATTTATGCTTAAATAGTTGAAGTAATCAGTCTTCATGGATATACAAAGAGAGTGTAATGCTTTATGCGGGTAAAAAGATGGAAAATATATTTTCTCATATCACTTACATAAAGGATAATTTTCTGTTCTAATGGATTATCAAGTGTTGGTTTGCAGAGATTTGATTGGTTACAGGACCGATCACCAGCTGACATCAGTCGGAGAACCATTGGAAAACCAACTAGGAGTACCGGACAGCTGTTTGGGGCTCTTCAACAGTATGCGCCCACGGGGTTCGAGCCTAGCACCTTCTGGTTACAAGGCGATCTGGTAGACCATGGAGCCACTGGGACCCAACGCAGTGGCGGGTGCATGCTGATGAAGAGTCCCAAACTAGGACAAAATGGTTGTCCATTGAACTCTTAGGTTTTGCAGTGGTTCTCCGACTGGTTTCAGCTCCTGATCAATTCTAACGAATTCGCTTAACTAAGAGGAACCTCCGGTATTTAAAAAATTGGGTATGATGATGACAGTCATAACTATAGTATATTTAAAGACAATATTTATAATTATGAAGCAATACTAGGGAGGACTTTTATAACTTTATTTGGTTAGCATAATGAGGTCATAAAACTGGTCAAAAAATGCTTATGGATAATGCTTCCATGCTAAGACATGTGTGAAAGCATCTCTGCATGCTAACACTGAAAAATTAGTCTAGTACTCACCAGTGACTGACTACAGGTTGAGGTTGCCTAAAGTCCTGATGAAAAGTTGTGAAAAGTGAAGTCCAGTAATTCCTGTGTAGGGATAAATACTTTCTGATAACGATGGCTGATGGTAGAGCATTACATCGCCATTCGGTTAAAGTTGGAATTCATCAACCACTAGATCGGATCCCAGTGGCTGAATGCCTTACGAGCTCGCCTTATAACCGCTAGGTGCTGGATTCAGACTCCGGTGGTTGTATACTGGGGAAATGTTTCAGTCTGGAAGAAACAACTGTCCAATGATCCCTGATTTTCAGTGGTTCCCCCAATAACATCAATCCGTGATCAAACGTGAAACAAACAAAGCTAAATTTAGACAAGATCAAATACTGGGCTAGTATTTAAGGTCATTACGTCACTGGATCACTAATTTAAAGAGGTAATTCTTTAGATCCTAGAAAGCCCCTAATTTTTGTTCTCTCTCACAGCCAGGCTGCATATATGCCAGTATGGTAAAGTGAAATGATTCAAGATAACCCCACCAAAAAGAGTGTTTATTTCCAGAGACACAGGAAAGTACATATCCAAACGTATGGAAAATAACGTTCATCTACTTTCTTCAGATTTGACAGAGGCCTATATTTTTCCTAGTGGTATTAACTGAATACCTTACAAACATACCTCAGGCCCAGCCTTCCCTGTTTGTCGCGGTAATACTGACTCAGTGAGATTTAGGAGTATGTTATCTGGGAATCGAACTCAATCCAATTACCTCATCGGCAATCTCTCTACCATTTGGCCACCTCAAAAAAACTAGTATTAAATAGTGTGAATTTGAACGTAACTTTTGCCGTTGTAATCAGTTACTTCAGTCTTCAGTAGAAACAGCATTCAACATTTCATTACATATTTCTATTCTTTGAAAAAAACCTGCATAATTTGTTGTGGATAACTCATATATTGGTTTTAGCCTCTGAGTAAAACTATTGAAATCCTTTTTCCCTGAAAGCAGATTCGTTATCCGAATGTTTTGAAATACTTGATACTCACTGGTTGGAAATGAAGTTATGTAGACATGCTTTGTAGGTTTTTGTAGCTAGATCGATTATTTCGCCCGGGTTGGATTATGTGAAAATACACATTGGTAAGATAGTCAAAAGTACATTTTGGTATTCAAAGCTTCTTCGGATGTTCACTTTGTACCACTTTGTTTGTACTCTACAGGCTGAGTATATTATCTGTATTAAATTTTTCAGCCAGTTGGCTAAATGTTAGCACTTATTTGGTGATTGATTTACAACAGTGGAGATTTCTTCATAACGGTTTTCAGTAGACATAACAAATTGTTACAGATCATTACTACCGAATTTCGCCAATAGGACATCACAATTTCTGCAATAAAATATGATTGTACACTGGCTATTCGACTTCACGACTGACCTCCTGTAGGACTATAATGGACACTAGGTAGTAACTGATGCCATGCATCTAGTCGTTTGTTTGGTGCAGACTGAATTCTTTTAGTCAAGTCTGCAATGTGGACACCACGCCACTAGGAGGTCTGGCATCACGGTGAACTGTGAATTGTTATTATTAGATGGTTGGAGGCGATCAGCAGGAATCTATTAAATACTGGAGATGTTGGTTCAGCATAAACTACATTCACGCCGTGTAACTTGAATTTATTTTATACTATTTACTAACATGGATGCATAGACAAAACACACTGTAGAGGAAAATTTTTAAAGTGTGGATTTTCTTCAGATTAATAAGAGCCATACTGCATGATTCAGGCAGGATTCTGATATATGATTCCTGAAGCGTCGCTTTATTAGTAAGTTCAGTCATCAACAGATTTTTAAGATAATCCCTTGATCTCATACACCATTCGTCAATTGTCATTCCTTTGCTTTCCAAGTGGATCATAGGGCTTCAGATTCGAGCTCTGACGTTTCAGTAGTGGTAGCGATTTTTACTCAGTGGGATTGCTAGCCTTGTAATCAACCTCCCCTGTTAACTAGTCTTACTACCGTCTGAAGTTTAGGAGTGCGCCGTTAGGGAATCGAACCCGGACCACTTCCAGCGTGGTTGACGAGCATTCTACCACTGAACCACTGACAACCTTTCTCTTAGCTTATAAGAATCAGTTTTTCATGTTATTATTTTTATTATTATTAATATCATTATGTCGTACTACTGAATACTTTCAAGTAGCAACCCCTACAGGACATTCAATTTTATCAACATTTCAGATATCACGAAAAGGAGTACCAACCAATCTAAAATATTGTATCTATATTCAAAATAACTTACGTTCATCTATGGAAGCTTTAAGATTTTTCAATACAAACACTAAAAGCAACTTATCAACATCACTAAAATTGTTATCAAATAATGAAAATCCAACTGAATTCAATTTGATTACTGCATCCTATGAATGTACACGACGAAAAATTATTCGTTTGACAAGTTGGTATTGTAAAGCAAAACGATTGTCAAATACAGTCTCATATAATAAAATACTCTCTAATGATCCAAACGCCAGCCTGATTGATATTTCAGTTGCTGAAAGTGGATGTTCTGGTAGTCTGTGTATTTGTTTTACTAATGAAGTCTTTTGGCTTAGTTTACATGTAAGTTAATCAATGTTGATTAATGTTGTCTTTCTGGTATTATTAACAAATTTTGTCCAGTTTTAATGGAGTCACCTCTTAATATAACTGTGCTTCCATTTGATTACCTTTAATGAGAGATCCTTATGTTGAATTATCGAATACAAAGGTTTTAAAGGGCTAATAAATAGTCTTACCAAAGCCTAAGTTAATTCAAGTAGATTATCATACCTGTCCAGACAATATATGTCACGAAATTTCTGGAATAATCTGAGCTCCAAATCAAATTAATACTTTATGAAATTACTCAAAATAAACTCAGCGTGCTTAGAAAATCAAAAGAAAGTTTTCCTCAAAGTTTCTCTGTGTGTGTGACAGTTTCTTCAGCAGAATTCGACTAGATGGTCAGCTGGCTCGCCTTACAATTGGAAGATGCCGAACCCGATCCTCTTTGGTCTCATGTGTTCTCACTGGTGAAGAGTCATACACTGGGACGAAATAGCTCATACTGCTCTGAGATACCTCTGAACTGTTACAATGCCTGTTTACATAATTCTTTTACTTGGTATACTTAAAGCGGGACACTTGGCAGGGTTCAAACGTCATTACTTATATATTTAATTGGTGGATGGTGACTAGCAGTGGAATCCAGCATGCGCGTTTCGTCCTATTTGGGATTCGTCAGCTGGATGTGCCTGCATTTCCCAGTGAGTGATGATGTTCCCACCGAGGCTCAATCTCAGTGTCCATAGTTTCAAACGCCAAAGCGTTATCCACTAGACCACTTGGGCCACGAGAGCCACCCTTTGTGCAACGGGTCATATTAATTTAATGAAATTTTTGATTTTCTCGTCGATTGATTGGACCCAAGTGCTCGGTCTCAGGTTGACATGTCGGCTTCTGGTGCAGATGCTTCGACGATATCTGGGCATGGTCCCAAATAGGACGAAATGCGCATCCTGGATTCCACTGCTAGTCACCATCCACCAATTAAATTCTAATTGCATGCCCAGACATCGTCGAAGCATCTGCACAAGAAGCCGAAATGTCAACCTGAGACCGAGCACTTCGGTCCAATCAATCGATGGGAAAATCAAAAATTCAATTAAGTCATTACTTTAAGATAAAAAAAGGTTATTTGGTGAAACGCTACAACGATCAGTTATGTTGGCAATAACCTACCACAGTTGGGTAAACTTCAAAAAGAAGTACAAAGAAAGCCATACATCAGTGAGAATAACAGAAATAATAATTGATATAAGATCTTGGTTATTTTTATTCCTACAATTAACACCATTGTTAGTTAGTTAAATTCCAGAAGCCACATGATTCTCTAGTCACAAGTGTATTATAGTGATAATGTCAACATAGAAATGTTTCTTAAATATCAGTTTTACACAGTCTACAAATATTGTTCGGTTTTGCACATGTATATATATGTGTATGTATATATCCTTAATACAAGTTAAAACATGTGATATATAGATTTTCTTAACAATTATAGTGTTCTGATGAAATAAGCCGCAGACTATGGAGAGTGATAACACTGCTAAAAGTTGAACTGACAAAAGGATCTTAGCATGTCTTAATTTCATGGATGTTTGATGTCCTGCGGTTTACAAACTTGAAGATTTACAAGTAAAAACTAAAACTTTGGAAGAAAAAGAAGAAGAGGCAGTGAAGTCAATCCTTCAGTTGGAAACAGATAAGACGAAGGTGATGAAGATATCTAATCCGCAACAGCAAGTATCAATCACTGTCAACTGGAGAAATGTAAAAGAAGTTGTTCATTCCACTTCGTTCACATAGTCAACCTGGATAAGGATTTCAAATCTAGGATCGGAGAACCAGAATAGGCGTTCATTATTCTAAAGTCAGGATGGAGATCTACAGCGATAGACGCCACGAAGAAGATCCAAATTTTCAACACTTAAGTAAAGTCAGAGAGTGCTTCTATACTGTTCAGCAGCACTTCCAATAGGCTGCATAAGTGCATATACAGTTGCCTCCGCTTGATACTGAACTCCTTCCCTACCGGACGGAGAGGATAAGCGATAAATAACTCTAATTGTCATCAAACTAACCTATTAACCAGCAAAAATACAGAGAATACATTCAAATGACATCACATAATAGGTTCCCAAGTGGAGACCGATTAAGTAGCAACGGTTTGACCGACTGAAAGTGACATGACAACGATCATGCGAAGAAGGGATGAAAGTTCGTAGAGCCAGATGAAGGTGGTGGAAGAGAACTGAGAGGAATAGAGATTTGCCTCTGAGGCAGTGGGTTCCATTCGGAATCCAAGGGATAAATAACAATAAGCCTAGTAAACTACAAAAAGCAAGTAGGTTAGTCACGTTGTCAGATTTTGCGAGTGGTTCTTGTCAAACAACTAGAAACAGATTTACATCTTACACTTAACGAGAACTACTTCCTCAGCTTACTACGAAGTTGCGCTTACTATTATTTTATTCGAATTGAACCGGTTCATCTATAAGACTGTCTTGGTATCAGTGATTTTTCATTTATCCTCAGTTATTTATGTGTTGACTGAGATATGTAGTAAATATGAGTAGGGAATAATTGGTCTTATTCCCCTGTCTTCCTTTCATTCCTTGAGTTCCAAGTATAACCTGAGGCTTTAAGGCCAAGAGTTTTAGTAGATATGATATTGCTTATTTACTGGGCGGATTTACTAGACTCACGCCCAACCTATCTTCCTTTCCATGCTTACAACCGATTCATAAACTAGGTGAAGTTTAAGAGAGTAGTGGAGGGGAATTAAAACCAGACCACCAAACCTTGCAACACATGGTATTCACAGCAGGTTAACCACACAAGTATGAACCTGGTTTAGCATTGCTTGACTTTGATGATCGAACAAGAACCATTGCACGGTCACCGACAAAATATACTGCGCTTTCATTTTAATATGCATAAAGGTGTTGCTTGCTCTTAAGTTCAATCATTGGAGGGTTAGTGGTTGCATACTGTTGAAAAATCCCAAGCAAGGATGAATCAGCTATTCTGTACTTGATTTTAAGATAGAAGTAATACATTTTAATGCGCTTCATAGGATAAATCTAACTAATAATCAACCTTCTACAAGCAAAGTAAATTATCAATGTAGAACTTTGGATAAAAGTACAACAGCTGAAGTTGTTATACTTTATAATACATAAAGGTTGAGAAATATATTGAAACAATAAAAAAGGAGGTTTACAGGATGAGAAAAAAGTAGATGAAGATTAGTGAGGATTTTCAGAATCTCCTTGTTATCAAGGAGGGAAAACATCTGCGTTGTTGTGAATGATTTTAAGCCATGTTACCAAAACTCATCAATCACAGGATGCCAGTTAGCCTGAAAACCGTATATTTCTGCATTTTCGTGTTAACAGTAACTGATTTACACGTGTTGACTTGTAGGCATTTGATTGGTTTTAAGATTGATTGATCATGAATAGTCCTCAGTTAGAGAACCAAAATTACTTGAAAATTAATCTAATGATTATCAGTGACTGAATACAGGATGAATTATTGTTATTCTTTCCTTTAATTCCTAGAGGAACATAGGGCTTCAGCCGTGCATCTCCATTGCGTTCTGTTCTCTGCTAGAGTCTTCACCTGGCTCCATGTCTGCCCACACGTTTTCATCTCCTCTTCACATGACCTCCTCCAAGTCAGCCTTGCACTGACGACCAACTCGTCGCTTCCCTTTCGGGTTCCACTCGAGCAATGGCTAGTCTAGTGATGTCACTTGATGGTTTCCTCAGAGTATGGCCTCCACCTCCATCTCAATTTCTTCCTGCCTATTTGTTTCACAATCGGTTCCTGGTTGATTCGCTCATTGCCAGAGATCCCTGTTGCTGATCTTTTCTGGCCGGACATCTGATTTGAGTGGTAGTGAGCGAAGACAACTGTTACTGAAGTTTGTTTGAGATGCTTTTTATGACGCCTAAAATTGTAGTGAAAAGTGATCAGCGGGATACAGCATAACAAGCGTGAGGATTCTTTGATGACACGTGCTGGTGGTGGCGCTACTTATTGTGAACTGGAGGAAGTTGAAACCGATCGACTAGTGAACTTCTTCACAGTGACTGAATGGTCATCGAGCTCGCCTTGCAACCTAAAAGTTGTGGTTTCGAAATCTGGTAAGGTTATGGGTACGTACTATTGAAAAGGTCCAAGTTAGAACGAAACAGCTGTCCGGTATTCCCTGGTTTTCAGTACTTCTCTAAGTGAAGTCACTTCGCAATCAAAATTGAAATCACTGATTTACAATGATTGCTAACTGTTATTATCTTTTTTTATAAATGAATTACAAGTAATTATGCCTTATAATTTTACAAATCTAATTATATTTCAAGATACACACGCACACAATTTATGACATAACATTTATTTGTTTTCTTTCTGTTATGGCTCCATCTTGATAAATAACCCTTTAAAAAAAAGACTTTTGATATACTCTCCAAATTCAAATTACCCTCATTTATGCCTCCAATTCAATGTTTGTCGTATTCATGGCCTCAACCTGCTGATTTGAATAAAGTTTACAATAGACGTACTTGGATATGTGTAAATAAAAATCGTTTGTTAGAAATATCACCATTCGAAAGTCAACGCCGGTTGGATATTAAAGGTCGAGCATGTTTATTGGTTTATCCTACGGGTCCAACAGATTCTCCAGTTACAACAATTGCATCAGGTTTAGGCATAACACCACTTGTAAGTTATAACTTTGCTATATTCAATATCGATTTTCATTTTAAAAATTTTTCTTACAGGATTTTAAAGGTAGAGCATGGTGAAATTGATTCATTATTAATATTTTGTCATTTAGAATTTCACTCAATTGAATAAACTCATTTTCACAAGAATCCTCTAATTTTACTTCGTTTAGGCTTAGGTTACTGAATGTGTCAAGGTAAAGTCAGACTGAATTAGTTGTGTCCTCTGAGCTGGTTAATTTAATTGGGAAGCTTTCGTCGTCCACCTTCTAGACAACATCTTCAATGCAGGTTTTAGTATAAAATCAACTCACTTGAATTCTCCATGAATGATGGTGTAATTGTATCTCCTGGTGACCGTGGTCGTGACTGTTTGTTAGTTTACGTCTCTAATGATCACTTTTATTCACTTGGAATTTGAACTTTCTTGTCATGCGATTCATCTTTTATTTGCTGGTAAATCTGGTCTGTAGTAATGTGTGTTTGTTAATTGCTAATTCACTTGAGTACCAGGCTTTTAGAAATTACCTGGCATTTTTCCTGTTTCTTCTATTTAAAACTTCTGAATTCTCACAATCAAATCCATGTTCATAATTATCTGCATGCACTGATATGAAAGAATATATAGCATGTTTTTTCACAGCCGATGTGTGTTCTTGGAATCGGATTCTAAGGGGACGCCAGTTTTGACCGATGTAAAGTTTATTGCAGTTTATTTTGTGAATAGTATTAATTTTATCTTCTTTTTCTGTTGGATCTTTTGGTTTACACAATATCGAATGACGTGACTGTGCTGGCTGGCTATATCTATTTCAAACAGTTTTAATATTCAAGCTGTTATTTCAGAGATATTTTTTACATATGGTATGATGAATTTTCTTGTGGTCTTTCATGATAGTTCCTTGTTGGTGTTGTGACTCGATTTTAAACACCTTTTGATGACATAGTGAGAGTATCGATTCTTTTTTAAGACGGTTAGTAGGCATTTTTCTTCCATTCTCTCCAACACTGGAGTGCTACAGTGTGTTTGAATTCTTTTAAACAATATCTGCACACAGTTCCTTTTGTGGGTTATTGGATTATTACTACTATAGTTGAGCATTTAGTCTGTGTGCGTTGATTTTTCGTATACTTGTGTTTCTAAATTTCCTGTGTTAGTTCTCTTGATTAAGAAATGTAAGAATGGAATTTTGTTGTCTAATTCTTCTTCTCCTTTGAATTCAATGTCTTCAAATATGTTGTTTATTAATGCGTGGATGTATTCCATATCATTTCTTTTAATTATTACGAATCTATCATCAACTTAACATACCCATATTTTCGGGTTGATTCTAATCTTTGCATAAGGGTTTCAGCTATTAATCCTGATATGGGCGATCTCATTGGTGTTCCTCTTATCTGTTCGTATATTTGATTATTGAATTGGAAGTATGTTGCAAGACAGAATTCTTTGAGTTCCATCCAAGTTGAATGTCGCGTTTTTGTGTTCTCATCGCTACAGAGTAGTTGTTGCATAGTTTCTTTTGCTAGTTTTGGACTAATTGACATCAAAGGACACCATTATATCATTGTCATTCACTTGAATGTTTTTGATTTTCTCTGAAAATTGGATTGGCGAATTGATAGAATGGATGTTCGCGTAATTATGTTAGATATTTTAATTTTCTGAAAAGTCCTTCAGAACATATGAATTCAGGTAAATCTGGAAGGATGTCAGAGATTAATAATTAGGAAAAATAAACTCAGCCACTGATATGCATTCACTGGCATACAATCACATAATTCGGTGGGACGAAATTAAAATATGAGAAAGCAATATATTTTGATCGACTTGGAATGTAAACATTGGATCAACAATCAATACATATATACTGAAATGCCCAGCATTAATCTGGGATATATGGAAAATTGTATTCAAAATAGGAGGTAGTAGTGTGGCGTGTGCTACTGATAACATTTATTAGTAGTATATGTATTAAGAGATGTTCATCGGCATAAAAACATCAAACAGCAGGGAGACAGATTTGATGTCAGAGAGATACATGAGAGACGTGAAAGGAACACAAGGAAAGACAATATGAAGTGCTAAAGATCTGTGCAATTGATACGTTGAAGATAAGGTGTACATAATTTTGCTATACAGAGATATTAAATTGCAAGTAAACATTCCTTATCAAATCTCACATCTTCTACCGATACAGCAGTAGTAGCGTATAAACCAAGCTACGAGGTCATGGGAATGTATTTGTGTACTTATGAGCGATAAAATGTACTCGAAACGTCATCCAATTATTAATACTTTATCAGAGTGTTGTATTAAGTAAATTTATCTAATGTGGAATTGTGCTTTTGTTTACAGAGCTCTTACGTTATACTCTTCAACAATAAAACAGTTTTAAACGGTTTTTTGTTTTAGGTTGCAACTGCTTTAGAAAATGGAGAAATTCACATTTCACTTATTCCTGAAACTTGTTTCAGTTGCATGGTAAGTTAAAAGTTATATTCTTTTGAAAAGTTATCATTACTTTTGTACTTTTTTTAAAGTCACTACTGTTTATGAATTAGACCCATGTTAATAGACCCATTTCACCTGTCTCATCTCAGTTAACCTCGGAATTACCAGCTGAATAGGTTTTGTAGAGTTCAGACAGGGTTTCGATTCTGACACAACTGATAACATAATGTTCAGAGTCTTGAAAATATCTTCTGATAAGCAAGTCATCATTCACAAAGGGACGTGTGTTCAATACACTCAGTTGTAAAAGTCTACTATTTCTTCATAGTTTGCTGACTTTATAAACATTCTTGACAGAAGAAAAGAATCCGTCTTAGATTCTCAGTAGTTAAGCAAAACGTGGCACAACATATCACAGCACTTCATTGATTAGACGAATCATCTTAAATATCTACTCTGGATTCACAAAAATGGCAATTTCTATTGAGTTCATGTCTTCTAAACTTGTATGTTTCGCCACCTTTTTTTCAGTTCATGTTATATGATGCGTCGGTGGCACAGTGGTTAGGACTCACGCCGACCATGCACATGGTCCGGAGTTCGATCCCCTGCCGACGCACACCTGATATCTATGGTCGGCCTGAATTTGGGCTACCGATATCAGTTGCTGAAAACTCCATACTTGTACTGAAAATATGGTGTGGCATCAAGCTGTAAATCCAAAAAAATTGTAGTAAGAAGTTTCTACTAGAAAGCCTCTGAGTGCCTACCGCCGATGAGTCCTAAACTAGGCGGAGTGAACAGCTGTCCAGTACTTTCTACTAGACTTTTGAACACTTTATCTCAATTTTCCCCTGATGTATAACAAAATCCTACAACAGTATTAAGATTTCACTTCCAGCTTCATTAAAATCTAATGATTAGTCTATACGAGTACTTATACTGGCGAAAGTACTCGAGCTTTGTTAACTCATGTGTAGGAGATTTTAACAGAAAAATACACATTTTGATGATATTTTTCATGACTGTGCCCAGTTTTCATAACTCTGTTTGATAAACAGTATGAACAGCAAGGAACTTATGCATGATTTGATTACATCTTTTCCTCACTTGTGTTGTCAACAGGCTATGTATTTGGAGTAGTGAATACGTTTACACATAAGAAACTATTCATTTCATACAGTAGTACTTGTCAGCCAGACCAAAGTGATTTGCACACTGGGAGGCCATGTAACTCGTTTGGAGACAAGATCATCAGTGTTGTATCCAGACTGACATATCTCAGACAGCCTAGGCAGCTAAAAAATCCCGAAGTCTGATTACGTAATTAGTCGAATCGATAATACCATAAATTCAATTAGCAGTCTGCAATTTACACAATTCGAGGAGGTTGAATTTCACCAAAGTTTCCTTGAGAAACCAAAATTAGTCAGATCACAAGATGTTACCTGCTTGATACTGTGAATGCCGATCATGAAACTATGTACCACTGATTGGTTGAGACGAGTAGTTGTATACCACTCACAACAACCGATAGTGCTTGTTAGCCAGACTGAAGTGATCGAAATAGCGAATGGTCATTTCACTAGTTTGGGGTCGAGCCCGTCAGTCGCATACTCGGGTTCAAACCCCCCGAGATCCTCCTAGCTACTTTGACGAACTGACAATATGTAAAATTGAATACGTAGTTTGCAAATTACACGGTTCGATGTGAGAATTCACCACATCGTGATCTAGATCACAATATATGATCTACTTATAACCATACATGTTATTCAAGGAACCAAGGGATATAGCTGAGTGGTATATACTACTGATGACTGATATGAGTAGTCAGAAAACACTGATATTTAACAAATTTTTTAAGAATATATACGAAAGACAGACACAACTTTTCAGAGTAAAATTTTAAAAAATACCGTGTCACTTATTGAAAAAATGTTTTCATATTACTATAACACAAAATAAAAGAAATATGGTGAACTCTGTAGGTGGTCACATATGAGTTATACCATTATGTTTCTTATGCTGCAAAAGAGACTTCATAGAGCGATGAACAATAATGCCTTCACACAATTTGTCTTCAGTGCCCCACTGAGTGTAACTTCGCATATCATATTCTCATATGCATAATTATAAGTGGAAATGCTAGTGACTTTGTGGATGATTGACTCAAGCATTAAAGTTGTGTCGAATTCATTTAATCAGTGTACATTTTTTGGCAACAAACTCATCAGATTTAAGAAATTTTGTCAAATGAAAAAAACAGCACAAGTTTTCAATGATTAACAAATGAATTTGTGTATATTTGACTCTACTTTTTTAGGTTGAATTCTGTCCTTTCGGTTTTACAAGTAAAACTGACTTATTGCATCATGTTGTACGTGATCATTATCTTAGCGAGTCTGTGGATGGATTTCGATGTAACTGGTCTTCGTGTGATCTATACCTTCCGTTAAATTGTTCACAATTTAAAATTGAGGTAAAATTTTATTAAATATATATTTTTTGTTGAGCTGGTTAAATACTTTTTCACTATCTGAATCCATCCATAATGCTTACAGGTAATTTTCTTTATGACAATATTGACATTTTCTGGGGGTGAGGGGGGGGGGGGAATAAGTGTCTGTCACTTTGCAATTAAGCACATGTCAAGTGATCCACAACGGAAAACTCAGCGAAGCGTTTGGAGTAAACACAGGAGTCAGACAAGAGTACTTATTATCAGCAATGATATTCCTAATTGTGGTGGACTGGATTATGCGTCAGACAATGGAAAACGAGAAGACAGGGATATTCTGGACCGACATGAAGAACCTAGAAGACCTGGATTTCGCGCGTGGATGATTTATGTTTGATGTCACACAAAATCGAAGACTTACAAGCGAAAACCGACAAACTGGTCGAAGAAGCAGCAAAGACAGGACTTCAGGTGAACATAGACAAGACGGAGGTTATGAAAATAACCAACCAACAACATCAACAACAGCAGCAACATCCAGCGACAATCATCATCAACGGGAGGGATTTGAAAGAGGTTACTTCATTCACTTATCTAGGGAGCATTGTCTCAACTACAGGCAGGTGGAACGGAAGAGGATGTCAAATCGAGAATCGGGAAGGCGAGAAACACATTCATCAACCTTAAAAAACCAATCTGGAAATCTTCGTCACTCCTCAACATCAACAACAAAATTCGGATTTTCAATACAAACGTCAAGTCAGTCAGTTCTTCTATACGAATCAGAAACTTGGCGGCGGGTCACAAAGAATATTTCCAACAGGTTGCAGACCTTTATCAACAACTGTCTTCGTTCTATACTGAAGATTAGATGGTCGGAAACAATCACCAACAAGAAACTATGGGAACAAACAAAACAAGAACCAATCGCTCAACAAATATGCAAGAGAAAGTGGAGATGGATTGGACACTCGCTGAGGAGGCCCTTGAGTGGAACCCGAAAGGGAAGCGGCGAGTGGGACGTCCAAGGGTGACATGGAGGAGATCGTGTGAAGAGGAGTTGAAACAGTATGGACTAACATGGATGCAAGTGAAAAGTACAGCAGAAGACAGAAGCAAGTGGAGGCGTGCAGTTGAAGTCCTATGTTCCACTAGGAACCCAAGGGAACAATAATAATATAATAATTCTCATCACTTGTTTGTTTGTGTTATTCAGCTTCTTGACAAGAATCGTCATCACTCTTCTGGTTTGTTCTAACCGTTAAAAGTGTGTGTTAAACAAGTCGAAGTAGCCACAGGGTTGATTTTTCGTATGCTTCACTTTTAAGGAAAACATAGAATGAGAGATGCTAACTGTTAACACTTTGAACAGAATAATATTAAAAATCGAATCAGAATACTATGAAGTCACTAAATCTAATTAAGATTTTCAGACGAAAACCAAGTGGTTGGCAGAATAAATAACGAGGTGCTGAGTATACACACTGACGAACAGTGGCAAACACCCAGCACTATTAATGGAGGAAATTTAGAGAAGGTGGCTTCTCTTCACTTATCTAGACAGCTTCATTCTTGCTCTGTTTAAATTTATCAGTGGGAAGGATTGTATAGATAAACAGAAAAGTTGGACGAACCTTTACTAATCTAAAATCAGGTCTGCAGTACTTAGTATATGGAGCAACATCAGAGTATCCAACACCGATATCAAATGAGTTCTTTTGTATGCTGCATGAAAAGAATCTACAACAGGCTGAACGCTTTCAGTAACACCTACCTTTGCGTGTTATTGAAGACAAGATGGATGGACAGCTAGAAACGATAAGCAACAAATCACCCTGACAGGTAGTGGACCAGGTAGCGATCTATTAAATAGCAAATATGCAGAAGAAAGTGGGGATTGAATGGATATACACTGAGTGAAATCACGTTCCAGGCCTTTGAATGGAACCCGAATGGGTAACGATGAGTTTGGGCGTCCAAGAGTGATATAGTGGTGATCATATGAGGAGGAGATGAAAAATCATGCGCAATCATGAAGTCGGCTAAACAGCAGCGGAAACAGCATAATGAAACGGAGATATGCTGCTCTATGTTTGTACCTTAGAACAGGTTGATTTTCCGCGATAAAGTTATGGCGGTCTGTTATAACCGGAACTACGATCCATTAGACTATGAGAGAATACTAACATAATGCGCTGGCTAGTCTATCCTAATCGCATGTCAACAACAACAACAATGACACCGCTGGCACTCAAAGACAAAAGAAAATACTGGACGTCGATAAGAGAGCTTTTGCTGTCTCAAATAACAGTCAAAATGCTAGACAGAAACTCTGTTTATATACAGTTAGAATAACCTTGAAGATATAGTAATTCAGAGACGCATTAAAAGCATTATCAGCCAATAGGAATCCAACAATCGAAACAGAGGGAAAAACAAAGGGCTCACGCCAGTGCGCGATAACTCCTTAAAATAGTTGTTTTAAGGTTTTAGGCAAAATTAGGCAAAACTACCTGTATATAACACCGTCTACTTGCATTATGTTGAAACTAATTGTTGTTTATTACTATTCTTATGTTTAATTGAATAACTGTATTGAATAAGAGCAAAAAGATCCATATCTCAACTTTAAGAAGAGATATAAACAGCTTAAAATCAAATCGCAAAATATCATTTATACGTGATTTCGTTTAAAAAATAACCTCCAAAGGATTAAAAACTAACAAAGTTTAGCCAGCTTGCTTTGATCCATTTTCTTTCTGATGCATTGCTCATAGTATGCTTTATTGAGTAGTTGTTGTTGCTGTTGACAAGCAAGTGCGCCGATAGTACCGATGGCTGACAATACAAATGCGAAATTCGCTGGCCTTTTTGAAACAGTATAATGCAATACATTTCCTCCATTTCATATTGTTTTAATCATTCAGTTAGGTACTGAGGTCGCACACCTTACTCGCGCACACTTTTAATTGGCTTTTAACCTATTGCTGAACATATCCTGGAGACTAAGGATGAATATAATAAGAGATTCGTTTGTGTTCCAGATCGAACAGCACTGTGTCATGAGATAAACTACTATCGATTATTACTTTATTGAACACTGTAGACTTAGAGGAAATATTATGCAACAGATGACGCTGAGAATTTTTAACACTGTGTAAACGTTTTGTTCAGAATGAAGCCGCTATTATAATTACTTATTTGAAATATGCAGCAAACACTTCAAGAATTTGCTCTCCTTTACTTCATTGGTCAGATTTTGGTTGTGTTATACAAATCATTATTCTCCCTCACACGATCTCCTCCAAGTTACCCTTGGACCTACGGTTAGCTTGTCATTTCCCATTCGAGTTCCACATGAAATCCTGTCCTATGCAGCCTGACGTCAGTCAAAGGTCTCCTCGGCGTATGTCCGACCCATGTCCATTTTCCTCAGCATATTTGTTGGGCAACAGGCTCTTGATTAGTTGGTTCCCAGAGTTCCCTGTCGCTAATCCTTTCTAAGGCAGCTGTTGATAAATATCTGAAGCCTGTTTGAGATGCTTTTGGTAAAACCTGTGCCAATTTTGTGAACCATATGGAAGAAATGACTTCAAATTAGTGTTGAAAATCCGAATATTGTTCTTTATACTGGCTGAGTTAGTGCAGAAGATTTCCACAGTTATTTCAGATTATTGAAAGTCTGTCTTGCCTTTCCAATTCTGCTTTTGTCGTCCTCATCCATTGTTGATACAGTACTATCTGGATAAGGGAAAGAAGTGACTTCATTTAGATTTCTCCGTTGATGCCAACTGGCGCTTGTTATTACTCTTCGGTGCCTATCTTCATCACTTCTATCTTCTCTATATTCACTTGAAGTCCTGTCTTCACTGACTGCCTCTTCTTCCACGTTGCTGATTTTCGCCCGTACATATTCAGGTCTGTGTGATATAAGATATAAATCTTCTATCTACAGCCATTCGCCAGTTCGACATATCCTCGTTTTCTTGCTATCCCCACAGCCTATTACGTAATCCACACTGCCACGAACAATAATATCATTAGTGATAGTAGGCAGACAACCTTGTCTTACTCCCGCCTTCTAATTACAAGTCAAAAAAAACACATCAACTTTTGGAAATATGCCAAGTAGTATATTAATTCTCATTAAATTCAACATTTAAAACTATAACATTTCTATTAAAAATACTTATTTTCGCTTTCTTATGTGTTTCATTTTTCAGGTTTTAGAAGAACATGCACATCAACATGTATACGCATAATCATGTATTATTAATAAATATATAATATATATACATATGTATATGTATGCTTATATTTGATTTGACTTACACTAAATACCATTATTTTACTTACTATCCACCTGATTGTTTCTGCAGAGAAGAAATTCTTTATCTTCAACTGATTGTCTTTCTGTGTAATACTTTTGGCATTTTCACAGTCTATTATTTCTGCATGTGTCAGGATGTCTATCTGGCTGTATGTGTGTGTGGGTGTGGTTAAGTGAAAATATATTTCCTATGATATCACTTTTTTAACAGTATGATTTTCGCTCTTAATTACTAATTTTGTTTTTCTAAAATATTAATCAGCTTTTGTCTTCTTCGTCTAAAATAATGACAAGAGAGACACAAAGAGAGAGTATTTCAGATGCATAGATGTTTCAGTGAGAAAGGAATTTAATTGTTGCATATATATAAATATGTGCCAGAGCTAACTTCTTCTTTCAACATGTCAGTCACAAATCAGATTTGATTTGATTTATAATAAATTATTTTTCAGTAAAAATGGCTTGATTCAATTTTAGATTTTCCCGTCGATTGATTGGACTGAAGTGCTCGATCTCAGGTTGACATGTCGGCTTCTTGTGCAAATGCTTCCACGATGTCTGGGCGTGTAATTAGAAGTTAATTGGCTTTGATAATTATTTAATGTTCTTTTCGATAAATTCATCATTAGACTGTAAATGTATACGACGGTAATAATTAGAGGAATATTCATAATGGATAAGATTTTATTTTGATACATCATACAGTGTTGTACAGTTATATTAACTGATGACGTTTCGAGCACAAACTATTGCTCATAATCATATCAAGTTACTCACACAACTTCTTTCCTTCATTTATATACATGTGTGGAATCGACTAGATATTGCAATAAAATTCAATATGAGATAATGTACATTCAGAAATAATAGTACGAGTGTTATTAATCCATTACAATTAGATGGGAAATACGGCGAGTGTTTTTATAGTCATAATAAGTTAATTGTCAGAATGTTATGATGTGCTTGAATGAAAATAGAATTTTAAGATTATTTATTATCCTATTCTGATTTGACCGGCGGTAATAATACCTTCCATATTTCTGGTATTTGCATTGAGTCATTTCTGTTGCATGTGTTGGGTGTAGACTCGATGAATAAGGATTCCGTAATCAACCTCTCTTTCCACCTACCTATATTACTTTTTAGAATTTTAACCCTATCCCACCCTATTGTGTGGTTGTTTTTTATTGCGTGAAGTGCAATAGCTGAGCTTTTTTCTAAATTACTTATCTTTTCAGGGTCAATCATTTTCCCTTTAGCTAAATGCTTATGTTCTGATAATCTGACTATCCCTGACCTACTAGTTTGACCTATGTAGTTGACCTCACAGTCATTGCAAGGTATTTTGTAAATTATATTATTTTGTTTAATTGGGTCCACCGGGTCTTTCAACCTACAAAGTTTGTCTCTGAGTGAGTTTGTAGGTTTGAATGCCACCCTAACTCCTGCTTTATTTAGAATCCTACGTAGGGCCTCAGATGTCCCCACCTTATATGGTATAACGGTAGAAGACTTATATTCTCTCTTATTTATGTTATTACTACTAGTTACATAATTATTTTCATTTTGTTTTTGGCCTTTACTAATCTTCTTAATGAATTTTATAGGATAGTTATTCAACACCAACGCTTCTTCTATCTGTTTTATTTCATCATTTAGGTCTTTTTTTGTGCTACTTAGTGCCATTGCTCGGTTTGTTAAACACTTAACTAAGCCTGCCTTAACAGTTAACGGATGAGACGAATTAAAGTCTAAATATCTATTAGAATGCGTTGGTTTTCTATAAACACTAGTGTGTAGTTTGCCTTCTTCTATTCGTTTTATCTTACTATCTAACACGGTTAATTCTCCTTGTTCATTTTCTGATTCAAATGTGAATTTTATTCCTTCTACTTGTCAGTTTATATGTGTTAAGAAGCTAGAGATATGTTCTGTTTTTAACACTGTGAATGTGTCATCTACATACCTCCACCATATTTTTGGCGTAGGATTAAATGTATTGATTAAAACTCTAGATTAACTAATTCATATGAGATGAAAAGTTAACTAAATGACATTCAACTAGCAAATGACGAAACAATGGTCAGTTTTGATATAACTAGTCTTTACACTAATATACCTGTCAATATGGCCTTAGAAGCAGTTGAAAAAGAACTAACAGCGGATCCTGAACTCAATCATAGAACAAAGCTGTCCATTGAAGAAATTATTTTAGGGATTCAGCTAAGCCTCACACCTACTATATTTAAATTCCAAGGCAAAATATATAGACAAACAGAAGGTGTAGCAATGGGATCACCAATATCTCCTATTGTAGCAGACATTTTTATGGACAGTTGGGAAAATGGTACTCTAAATAACACTCGTACTATTATTTCTGAATGTACATTATCTAATATTAAATTTTATTGCAATATCTAATCGATTCCACACATGTATATAAAATAAGGAAAGAAGTTGTGTGAGTAACTTGATATGATTATGACCAATAGTTTGTGCTCGAAACGTCATCAGTTAATATAACTGTACAACACTGTATGATGTATCAAAATAAAATCTTATCCATTATGGAGTTATACTCTACCACAGTGCCCAAGTTTTTTACTTATATCAATAGGGGAATATTCTTCTGAACAACATTATTGTTTTTGTAAACCTATTTATTCAGAAGATGTGACTGAGGACGAACTTAAGGTTATTTACGACACGTTATTTAAAAACAGCTACCCTGAAAAGTTCATTGAGAAACACATATCCAAGAGAGCAGAAAAGAATTCTTCTATGATCGTTAAGAAGAAGCCTCTATATTTACAACTACAATTTAAAGGTGATGTACCAAGTGAAATAACAATCAACAAGTTAAGGAAATCGATTCAGAGAACATTTACTTCCAGTAAGCTGCAGCTTATAGTTTCCACATAAGCGGTTGCCATCCCTCAACTGAAAGACGAAATACCTAGACTAGCCACCATTAAATGTATCTTTTAGAATTTAAATGGGCATGTTCAATCAATTTTTATATATTTTTTGTGCGATTCCAAGTCTCTGTAGCAACTGGATTGATTTTCCCAGGTTAGGTCATTAGCCTCACGCCATACTGTCCCTCTTTTTCCTAGCTTAGGACCAGATAGTTAACTACATGAGGTTGGTTTTGATAATAGTCACCTCGAAGAAAATTACTCATCTTTCTCCGTTGGCTTAGGTAGATCAACTAAATTTTCTTTCAGCTTTTCTCTCCTTCTATCACTTTTGTTTAAGTTCCTCAGTTGATAGCAGAGGTTAGTTTACTCATCAACTCAAATACGACAGTCTGTTCAAATATACACACTTGAGTTTCACCATCCCTACTGCTGTTTTTGTTGATTACTCCGTTTTGTACATGTGAAACCAACAGGCATGGCATTTTCTCGTCATTTGATTGCACGCTCTTCCAACAGAAAGGAAAATTGATATTAGATGTTTGGAGGCAATCGGCCACAGGAAGCATTGGTTACACCTAGGTTTCGTGTTAGTTGGCACTCATCAGTCAACAAGGCGTAGTATCTGCAATCTTGAATGAACTCATGTCCCTTCCGAGATTTGAACTGACGTCACCCAGTGCTGCAGTCAAAGAAGTTACCACTGAGCTATTCGGGTTCGCGATTGGTCTCTTCTAGGACTGTATTGGATATTTTTGATTGGCTACTAGTTGGTAACTAGTGTAAGTGTGTGTGTAGTCCTCTGTTTGATGCAGACTGAATTCTATCAGTCAAGTTTGCAATATGGCCAAAAGCATGTTAGGTGTCTCCCCATGATGGTGCACTGTGAATTGTTGTTATTAGATGGTTAGGATTCAGTCTGTATCAGCACCAAGGACTAGACACATTACACTCATTACTGAATATTATCCAACCAAAGAAAGGGCAGTTGACTGGAGATCTACATATCAATGCTTAGTGCAATAATATTTCGCCATAAACATTTATGTAGAAAGACTAATTGTTGTTGAGTGAAAAATTGCAGAGTAGCGAATTTTCCCCCACTTTCAAATACACAGAAACTCACCGTATGCCGAGACACTATAATGCAACTGAATTTATGTAACTGTCGATAGGGTTAAAACTGTTGGGTATTCTTCGAGATTTGATCACGAAGGTTTCTTTAGTACTAAATTTATCAGGAACCTGTTTTTAGTGTGTATTCATACCTATTTCTTCGTCTGATTTTCTTATATCTCTAAAGTCTTACTGAATGTCAACTTTTTCATTGTTTTTGGAATTGGGACATTCATTGGTTTCACAAATGAGTGAAATAAAAACTGTGAAACAAGGAATGCAATAAACTAGATTTCTGTGCGTCATTAGAATCTTCATTAAAAACCTCAGAATTGACAATCCAGATTTGTTAATGAGATTAGCGCCGAATATGTCATCAGGCCGAGAACTAATTTTGAAACTGCTTCAACACTACGGCGTGCAGTGCCTAAGTCTTCATCAACGCCATTCAACAGCTAGATGACAGTGGCACGTGTCAGGTGGTCCACCACGGAAAACTCAGCAAGGCGTTCGAAGTGAATACAGGAGTAAGACAAACTGGCTGCCTATTATCACAGATGATGTTCTTAATTGTAGTGGACTGGATTATGCGTCAGACTGTGCTTGGAAGCGAAGAAACAGGAATACGCTAGACTATTGTATTGAATGTGTAGGAAATTCATCCTATGGTTGTTAAGAAACTCTATGGCTAGCTCTCGTGAGCCTGTCTTTATGAACAAAAGTAAGCTACAGACAGGGAGATACACTGTTCGGCTGGATCCCTAAGAATAGCCATCTGTGTGTTGTCAGGTTAAACGAGTTTGTTATAGGAAGTAAGGCTAGAAATGATCTTTCATATCCGTTTTGATCTGTATTAGTACATCTGCTGACCAAAGTTCGGTCGAAGTAAAGGAAGCAGTGAAGACAGCAAACCAAGTGAACATAAAGGAGACAGAGGGAGGTGATGAAGATAACCAACAAACAGCAACAACCAGCACCAAACACCATCAGCGGGAGAGATTTAACAGAGGTCACTTCCTTCACTTATCTAGGAAGCATCATTTCAACTACAAGGGACAGAACGGATGACGATGTCAAAACCAAACAGTCACAATCGGAAAGACAAGATAAACCTACATGAATCTGAAATCGGTTTGAAAACCTTCTGCAATAACTGAGCACAAAGAAGAAGATACGGATTTTCAACAGAAATGTGAAGTCAGTCAGTCAGTTCCTAAATATGAGTCAGAAATTTGACGTGAGCGTCACAGAAAGCATTTCCAACAGGCTACTTCAGACCTATATCAGCAGCTGCCATCTTCTCTGGCTTCATACTGAAGACCAGCTGATCAGCCAAAAAGAAACAGCAACAAGAAACTCTGGCAACTAAACAAA